ACTCATAGCAAATAATTTGGTTTGACAATAACAAAATCCAGTTGTCATTTATTCAGTTACTATTTAGTGAGCACCTTGTAGGTACCAAAGAAACAACAGTAAATAAGTTATCTCTGCTGTGAAGAAGCTCTACAGTCTAGTTGGAAAGAAAGACAGTTACAGATATTTTGATTTGACTTCTGGCCAGATGGCGGATGATCAATTCCAAAGGGTTGTGGGTTTTTTTGTTTGTTTGTTTGTTTGTTTGTTTGTTTGTTTTTAAAGATTGTATTTATTTGAGAAAGAACATGAGAGCGTGCGAGCCAGTGGAGGGGGTGCAGTTAGGGCAGAGGGAGAGAGAGAGAAGCAGACTCCACTCAGCAGGGAGCCTGATGCTCGATCCCAGGACCCTGGGGTCATGACCTGAACCAGGTCAGATGCTTAACCCTAGCCACCCAGATGCCCCCAAAAGGTCATTTTTTAATAAAACAGTTATATTCTTGACCAAATAAACACTGCACCAGCAACGATAGACATATTAGAAAATCAGAGCTGACATTAACCAGTATGCCTATGTCAGTAGTACCATGTGGTCTGGCAGTTAGACTGGGACTCCAGAAAAAAGGGGTGGTTTTGAGTCATAAGCATCCCCTGGCTTCTGATACAAATTTTCTCCTAGAGAGAAAATTTGTTTTCCTATCTAGACCACCAGGAATCCCATGGATCAAATAAATATGTGTTTACAATCCAAAAATCACCAGACACTTTGGAAGACAAACCACCATGAAGGAGGATCAGCAAATTTAGATCCCCTCCCCACAGTGAGCTTCAGATATTAGAATTACCAGGCAGAATATATAAAATAACTATACAAAAAACATTAAAGATGAATGAAATGAAATGAACAATGAATAAGATACTTGGACAGATTTTAAAAAGAACCAACAGGGATTGTAGAAAGAAAAAAGAGTAAGCTAGAAATTACTTCTGAAGAAATTAGAATGCAGCAATTAGAAGGAGGTGGGAAAAAAAAAGATCAGAATGAGAGGCCTAATTAACATCAAATTAGCTTCCAGGAGGAGAGAACATTTGAGTTCTTCTGAGGAGGTAATAGCTGAGAACTCTCTGAAAGTGATGAAAAACATGAATCTGCAGCTACCACAACCACAACATATACTAAGCAGGATAATTAAAAAGAAAATCACACCTAGTCATTGTAATAAAATTATAAAACCAAACCAAGCCAGAAAATAGCAAGTGTTGGGTTGGGGGGAACTTCTGTTTCTGATAGGAATGTAAAATGGTGCAACAGCTATGGAAAACAGTTTGATGGTTCCTCAAAAACTTAGAATTTCTGTATGATTTAGCAGTTCTGCTTCTAGGTATAATGCTCCCCGGAAATGAAAGCAGGAATTCAAAGAAATATTTGTACACCAGTGTTCAAAAGAGCATTATTCCCAATAGCCAAAAGGTAGAAGCAAACCAAGTACCAATTTTCAGAGGACTGGATATGCAAAGTGTGGTATATACATAAAATGGAATATCCTTTAACCTTAAAAAGAATTCTGGCGTATGCTATTCAACACAGATAAACCTTGAACACATTATGTTAAGTGAAATAAGCTAGTCACAAAAGGGCAAGTGTCCTGATTCCACTTAGATTGATGATTCCACTTAGATGAACTACAATAATGCAATTTACAGACAGAAAGTACAGTGGTGGTTGAAGGGGGAAAGGGAAGATGATGTTTAATGGCTATAGAGTTTGAGTTTTGCAAGGTTAAGAGAGTTGTGGAGATTGATTGTACAACAGTGTGAATGTGTATATCCATAGAGATAGAAAGTAGATGAAAAGAAGTCAGGAGCTGGGGGAGGCAGTAGTGGCGAGTTAATTTAATGGGTACAGAGTTTCTGTTTAGGACAATGACAAATTTTGGAAATAGTTGTTGGTGGTGGTTGTACAATATTGTGAATATAATTAACGCCACTGAGTTGTGCATTTAAAAAATGGTTAAAATGGCAAGTTTTATTTTACTACAGTAAAAAATAAACAAAGAGCAATGCCGAAGAGAAAAGACAGAAAGACAGATGCCATATATAAGACTACAATTAGATTGACAACATACTTCTCAGTAACAACTATGGAAGCCAGATGGCAGTTTTGAGTAGTATATCGTAGCATTTATAGAAGTAGCTGTCAGTATAGATTTGCATACAAAGCAAAACTACTTTGCAGAACCATTTAAGGAGCACTTGAGTGGCTCATTTAGTTAAGTGTCTGCCCCTGGTTCCCAGGGTCCCGGGATTGAGCCCTGCCTTGGGCTCCTGGCTCTGTGGGGAGTCCGCTTCTCCCACTCCCTCTCCCTCTGTGTGCTCACTCTCTCTCTCTTTCTCTCAAATAAATAAATCTTTAAGAAAAAAAAAAAAGAGGGACATCTGGGTGTCTTAGTCGGTTAAGCATCTTACTTCGGCTCAGGTCATGATCCCTCAGGATCCAGAGTCTGCATGCTCACTCTCTCTTACTCTATTTCTCAAATAAATCTTTTTTTTTTTTTTAAGATTTTATTTATTTGACAGAGATCACAAGTAGGCAGAGAGGCAGACAGAGAGGAGGAAGCAGGCTCCCTGCTGAGCAGAGAGCCTGATGCGGGGCTCAATCCCAGGACCCTGAGATCATAACATGAGCCGAAGGCAGAGGCTTAGCCCACTGAGCCACCAAGGCGCCCCTCAAATAAATAAATCTTAAGAAAGAAAAAAAAAAAGGAAATCTGTTTAGATTAGAGGTTGATTTTACATTCTATACCCAGTAGATTTTATTATTCTCTTTAAAGATTTTATTTGTTTATTTCACAGAGACACAGTGAGAGGGGAACACAAGTAGGGGAAATGGGAAAGGGAGAAGCAGGCTTTTCGCCTGGCAGGGAGCCTGTTGCAAGGCTCCATGACCTGAGCCTGAGCCAAAGGCAGACACTTAACAACTGAGCCACCCAGGCGCCCCATCCAGTAGATTTTAAATGAATCATGCAACTGAATTTTTAAAATTTTAATCATTAAAAGATAAAAGAAAATGTTATAATTTTTTAAGCCTCTGGTAGCCTTCCTGTACTTAAAAAGTGGCAGTAGAGAGCAATTTGATTTTAATAAGGCTACATTTTAAAATTATATGTTTTAAAATGTAACTTAAAAATGCAAGTGCAAAGTGGGGAAAGATTTGTAATGTTGGCGAAATAATATTTAACATATAGAGCTTACATACATATAATTATTTAGTCCATAGATAAACACTAAAATGCTAGTGAGTAGATAGGCACAGTTGACAAGAGAAAGTACTGCCTTATTCCACTTATCAGGCTTAATGCTGTTAAAGATGGGCTGATAGCCAGAGATTGTGTATATGCTGATGGGATGCAGTATGAAGTATATAGTATCATTTATTCAATATTTGTTCCCCAAAATTTGAACATGTATATAATCCAACTAATTTTTATCTAGAGGAAATTCAGGCTTTAGTGGAGCAAATAAGTAAAGCTGGAGAATGTGGCATGTTCTGCTGGGCAGACAACCAAATTACTGAGAACTATTTAATCTAATTGCTCTAGATTAAAAGAGATTTAAGAGACATAACCAAATGCAGTGTGTTGACCTTCATTGGATCCCAGTTCAAACAAATCAACTATAGTTGACACTTTTGAAACATTTAAGGAAATTTTAATGTGTTAAATATACTTCAATTAAAAATAATAATAAAGTGTGTCAACTGTACTTCAATTTAGAAAAATTAAAATCCCAGGATCGAGCCCTGGGTCATGCTCCCTGCTCAGCCTGGAGTCTGCTTCTCCTTCTCCCTCTGTCCCTCCCCTCAGCTCATATTCTCTCTTGAGTGCACCCTCTGTCTCTCCCAATTGAGTAAAATCTTTAAAAAAAAAAAAAAGATTTCATTTTATTTAATTTCCTTTACTTTATGGGATGTCAGCTGCATCAATGAACACACTGACTAACCTTTATAACTTCAGATACATCAGAAAGCTCAGTGTGCTGTCATAGCCTCATATATGTCATTGATAAAAAGTATTGAATAGGGGCGCCTGGGTGGCTGAGTGGGTTAAAATCTCTACCTTCGGCTCAGGTCATGATCCCAAAGTCCTGGGATCGAGCCCTGCATCGGGCTTTCTGCTCAGCAGGGAGCCTGCTTCCCCCTCTCTCTCTGCCTGCCTGCCTCTCTGCCTACTTGTGATCTCTGTCAAATAAGTAAATAAAATATTTTAAAAATAATAAAGTCTTTTTAAAAAAAGTATTGAATAAAAATGTTTAAGATTTTTGGAGATTTTATTTATATTATTTGAGAGAGAGCACTTTTGCACACATGTGTGCACAAGCTGGGGAGGGGCAGAGGAGGAGCATCTCAAGCAGACGCCATGCTAATCCCAACACAGGGCTCCATCTCACAACCCTGAGATCATGACCTGAGCTGAAACCAAGAGTCGGATGCTTAACTGACTGAGCCACCCAGGCACCTCAGAATATTTAAGATTTTAATGTGTTAACTATACTTCAGTTAAAATAATAGTAAAGTGTGTCAAATGCATTTCAATTTTTAAAAATTTAAAGAATTTTAAAGAGGTGTCTGGGTGGCTCAGTCGGTAAAGTGTCTACCTTCAGCTTAGGTCATGATCCTGTAGTCTTGGGATTGAGCCACACATTGGGCTCCTTGCACGGTAGGGAGCCAGCTTTTCCCTCTCCCTCTGCTGCTTCCCCTGCTTGTGCTTCCTCTTGCTCTTTCTCCTGCTTTCTGTCAAATAAATAAGTAAAATCTTTTTTAAAAATTTTTTTAAGTAGCATTTAAGATTTCAGTCATATTAAAAGAAAAAAAGATTTTAGTCCTATTAGACACTGTAGAAAAAAATGTCTTGAACATCAGAAGACATTTGGAAAATAATTTTTTTGACTTTATTTTCAGATTTCTAGTTTGAGATATAAATTAACATTTTTATATTTCTCTGTCACTTCTTCTTTGTCTTCAGGGATCCATCTGTCTCTAAGTCTATAGAACGAATCTTCAAAATCTGGGAAGATAGAAATGTATACCCAGAAGAAATGATTATGGCATTGAGAGAAGCTTTGAGTAAGTGTGTTTTTTCTCCTAAAAGAAAAAATTGAGTCCTTGAGTCTTTAAAATTAGAGATATTTTATAGACCTGGTCCTGTTGCTTAATAATGAAAAATAAAGTTCTGAATTGAGTCCTATTTATTTAAAATTAAATACTTTTAAAAGTCTTGGTTAAAAATCTGAATTTTAAGGTTGTAAAAATCTGAATTAAAATTTAAATAGAATTGGTTTGGAGAGGGTTGGATTTTGTCATATTGACTAGAGAAAGTCAAGCATATTAAGTGATAATGGCTATCTGATTATTTTCCTGCCTTTGTTTTGTTTTGAGTGTTTTAAACTATTCATTTTTTTGTATGTTTAATAATTAACTGCCCTATCCTCTTACAGTTGGATAATTTTTTAATGGGGTTTCAGTTTCTACTAAATTATTTGATATTAAGCATATGTTGGGATTCTTTAGTCTTTGTTTTGATTTAGATTTGCAGTTAATTGTGTACCTGTTTTTTAAAAGTTATTTATTTCTTATGTATTAGATGCATGCAGTTGAGTCATTAAATGAAAGTTGGTGATGATATCTGATACCATGACCATTATTTGACTAGAAATTTGCTTTAAAAATAGCATCTTCTAAGAAGCTGTTAAATTCTTAATTTGAGTGTGTTAACTGGTATTTTTAAGCTTCTTTCCCTGTTCTTAAAATCGATAATTTTATTGATTATCGAAATCATATTTATTTGACAGCTTCTTAGATCTGGTGGGTGTTTTTATTTTTTTATAAAAATGAAAGAGAAAGAGAAAAAGAAACAACACACAATCTCGGATTGTTACAATGCTACAACTTTGACACTGAAGTGGACAGACAGAACAGCTTCCCATAATGCCAGATTGCAAAAACTGAAATGTTTTCCAGGTACCACTTTCAAAACTCAGAAGCAGCTGAAAGAAAATCTGAACAAACAACCGAATAAGCAGTGGAAGAAATCACAAAGTAAGGAACAAAATCTCAACTAATATAAAATTACCTCCTGTTTTTGGAGCAGAAGAAAAATGTAGACCATTTGACATCGTACCTGGCATAAACCATGGGGAAGCCTGTGTTTTCCAGGCCTGGGAGAGTGACCCAGTGACTTATACTAAACAAGCCATCATGGAGTTACTTCTTTAAAAAAACAAAAACAAAACCAAACAAAAAAACCCTACTTTTAAACAAAGGAAATGCAGAAAAAGGGTTTAAATGAGTGAAGATTCAAGAGTAGTTGGGGGAGTGAAAGAAGAAAAAAAAAAATGCTTGATAGTGCCCAGGCTAATTCTTAGGTTGAAAGATATAAGAAGTTAGAGGCAGCTGACATTAAACAACAGAGCTGAAGAGGAGACTAGGCATTAAGAAGCATTTCTTTGGGAGCCATGAAATTCTTCGATTTGGGGATGCACTCTGCCAGATTAGACATGGGCCTCAAATCCTGGCCAGAAGCTCATTCTCTAACAGGAGCTCCTTTTATGTTTATCATGTTTACCCCGCATGAGATCAAGGGAGTGGAATACTGCATGTGATAGGCTGCTATGGGCCAAACTGAGGAATACTGAGAAAGACTTGAAGGTGTGGAGGGAACAAGGTAGAAGACAGTGAGAATTGGGAGGTAAAACAAGACACTTGGGATGGTTTTACTCCAGCAAGCGTGTGATATCCATCATGATTAAGGGAGTCCTCTGACATCCTTTTGGTCATAAGTTGCATGCGTAGGAACAGCAAGAGTCATCATTTCAGCCAAAGTTGAACCACAGTGGTAATGTACTTAGAACTTTTCCTGCCTCTTTTTGCTGTGAATTGAGTCAGCAGAAAAAGAAATCCAGAGCTAAATCATAGGAATAGAGTTGATGTTTATCAGTAATTTTCTTCAGCCAGTGCTCAGGATTAATTGGATGTCCTACTCCTGAACACTCTTAATTTGAGGTATCCTTTTAAACTCAGACAAAAAAGGTACTCCATGTATCTCAGTATCTCCAAATCAATAATTCTAGGACTTTATGACTTAAAGGGTCTGTTGGAGGTAAGTAGGTTAGATCTATCTAAATAGTATATTTTTATATTGGCCACACTTGGGAGTGTTTAAATTTCATATTCTAGGAATATTTGTTCTAAGAATTATATTATTCTTTAAATGTGCGTATTTGAAATATGTTCAAAGTGTAAACCCTTAACTATAATGCTGAAAAATTGCCTGAATGTTAGTTGACTTTTTGTGTCTCTATTCTTAATGACCTTTTGTTTAATTCAACAGCATCCATGAATCCAAAAGCTGCTCTCAAGTCTAAGATAGTTGCAGAATTTCGAGTAAGTTCTAGAATAAGTTTAATATGCCAAAGCTTTATTCACCCCTTTTGCTACAGTTCTCCAAATATAGTCCAGTAAGATTTATTTTTATTCAATTGTATATAAATTATATTTTGAACAAATTTAAACGGTTCTAAAAGAATCCAGGTTGGGATCAGATTACTTAGAGTTTTATATGTTCCCCTAATGGAAGAATTAACCTTCTTCCAGAATATCTATTACCAGCCAAGTTCTGTATTGAAACCTCCCCCCCAACAAGGGGTTCATTCTACTGTGAAGTTCTACTAAATTAGAATTTGCTTACAGTTAACGTAATAAGATTATATTTATCGAATTAAAATTTTAAAGAATAAGTGGACCTTTGTCTTAGTCTTAACCTTATATGTTTCATTAGCTTTGACTAAGGAAAGGACATTTTAAAGTATGTAACTAGAAGTACAGTTTCGGCATAAAAATTGATAGTGATATCCCCAATTACAAAGAATTGCAAAGGGTTTCTTTCTTATTACTGTTATTAGATTTTAGACATGTTTTATGTTAACGGGGGAGGGGAGAGTAAGTGAATGATTTCATAAATAAAATGTGACTCTGGTCTGTGTTCAGTCCCAGGCCCTCATTGAAGAGCTGTTGCTGTACAAGCGCTCAGAAGATCAGATAGAATTGAAGGAAAAACAGCTGTCAACCATGAGGGTGGATGTGTGCAGCACAGAAACTCTGAAATGTTTAAAAGGTAATACTTCTTTTTAAATAGAGTAACTCAGATTTTTTTCCCAGGTCCGTCATTTTTAAGTCATCAGACTGGCTTCTCCCATAAAGAGAACCTTAGGTTTTATTTATATTTATTTATTTATTTTTAAATATTTTATTCATATATTTGACAGAGAGAGAGTAAGAGACAGCAAGAGACGGAAAACAAACAGAGGGATTGGGAGAGGGAGAAGCAGGCTTCCCACCAAGCAGGGAGACTGACATGGGGCCTGATCTCAGGACTCTGGGATCACGACCTGAGCTGAAGGCAGACACTTAATGACTGAGCCACCCAGGCACCCCATGAAATTTATATGCATGAAATCACCACTTGGAAGACCAGAAGTGCCACAACTGTTTTCTAAAATCTAAGATACTCTGGGGCCTTTTGGCTCAGGTCACGATTCCAGGATGCTGGGATCAAGCCCCACATGGGGCTCCCCGCTTGGCGGGAAGCCTGCTTCTCCCTCTCCCACTCCCCCTGCTTGTGTTCCCTCTCTCACTGTGTCTGTCTCTCCGTCAAGTAAATAAATAAATGTTAGGAAAAAAGTTTCATAAGTAAATTCTTGTCTTTCACATTGCATATCTTAAACTTCACAGTGTTATATGTTGATTGTATCTCAATGAAGGAGAAAAAAAATAATTAAAAAATCTAAAATGTAATTAAATTCTGTCCTTTTCCTCATTTCTAGTGCTTTCTTGATATATTGGGATATATATAGACAATGTATTTCACATGTGTGATAATGTGGTTTGGTTATGTTCTTTAATAAGGTCACTGTAATGCCCCATAAAATCTAGTAGTTTCTCTCTTTTCCTTAGATTATAAATTAAAAATAATAATTATATTAATAAATTGTTAGAATGTAAATCTCATGAAGGTAGAAATTATCCTTATTTGTTTATTGCTGTATCCTAGCACCTAGAGCAATGCCTGCTACATAATAGGCGTTTGATAAATATTTTTGAAATCATGAATAAATGGCTTTCAGCTATTCATTTGGGCACCTGTTTTGTTCTTGCACTGTACTTTAAATTTAACTATTGTTACCTAATTTAATCCTCACAACAACCCAGCTTATTAAAAACCTGCATTTTGTACATGAGAAATTGAGACTTCATAAGGAGATGAGTAGCTTACCAAGCAAGTTACACAGCTGATAAAAATTTTAGCAAAGCCAAAATCTGTACCCATATCTGAAGCTGTATTCCAGTAGTCACTGGGAAAGTTGTATACTTAGAAGAGTAAGTAACAGGACGCCTGGGTGGCTCGGTTGGACGACTGCCTTCGGCTCAGGTCATGATCCCGGAGTCCCGGGATCGAGTCCCGCATCGGCCTCCCAGCTCCACGGGCAGTCTGCTTCTCCCTCTGACCTTCTCCTCACTCATGCTCTCTCTCACTTGTCTCTCTCTCAAATAAATAAAATCTTATAAAAAAAAAAAAAAGAGTAAGTAACAGTTTGTAATATCACAGTTGCTGAAGAAAACAATTCATGGTTTGTACTCTTATTAGGGATCTTCTTCAGATAGGAAAGAAGAATTTTTCATATGATACACACAGAGGTCACTTTTACTTTTCTGAACCTCCATTTTCTCACATTCTGTAGTGAATCTAAGTGAACAGAATTGAGCCTCATCCTATTACTTCTAATTAGCAGCTCAGCATCCAGTTTGTGAAGAGAAGCAATCAACAGAGTTTCTTTTAGTTGAACTTTGTTTTGCTTACTTTAATTATAGGTGTCCTCATGATACACTCTTTTTTTTTTTTTTAAAGATTTTATTTATTTATTTGACAGACAGAGATCACAAGTAGACAGAGAGGCAGGCAGAGAGAGAGAGAGAGAGAGAGAGGGAAGCAGGCTCCCTGCTGAGCAGAGAGCCCGATGCGGGACTCGATCCCAGGACCCTGAGATCATGACCTGAGCTGAAGGCAGCGGCTTAACCCACTGAGCCACCCAGGCGCCCCTCATGATACACTCTTGACTACATTCTAGCACATTCACATGAATTGTCTTAATAATCTGTTTTGTGGATTTTGTGACTTGGAGAATCTCCTTTAAGGTGATACTGAGACGAAGGCAGCAAGAACAGGTTCACAGATTATGTAAAAGGGGTTTTCCTCAAAAGATTGAATTTTTTATATTTTCTGTTTTATCCTAAAATGAGTACTTCTGTTATTTTAGATAAGACAGGTGGAAAGAAGTTCTCCAAAGAATTTGAAGAGGCAAGTTCCAAACTGGAGGAATTTGTGAATGGATTAGATAAGCAGGTGAAAAATGGGCCCTCACTGACAGAAGCACTGGAAAATGCTGGAATTTTCTATGAAGCACAGTACAAAGAAGTAAAAGTGGTGGCCAATGTAAGTAATAATTAAAGCTGTCTTATATTGATTGCTTACTATAATTCAGTGACTGTTTATATGAGTTCTCTAACTCTATGAGGGTAAACATTATTACCTCCAGTGCATGGATGAAGAAATTAGTTTTGAAGAAGGTCAGTAGCCTTGTATAAGTTAATAGAGCCAGCAAGTGGAGGAGTCTAAATTAAAGACCTGGCTTTTTTTGACACTAAAGCTCACAGATACCCTGACCATTAAGCTTTACTAAAGCTTTATGTCTTAGCATTTCAAAGGGCATGTGCCTAGTTACTGTTACAGGATTTAAAAATTGGGCAGAAGTATACATACTTTGTTGTTTTACCAGAAAACTAGATAGAAACATTCTGTTATGAAAATTCTGTTACTAGTGGCCTCTGAAAGAAACTGCCTGTGTTATACTGAAGTTTTTATATTTTTATTTATTTGTTTATTTTTATAGAGGAGAAACTGGGTGGGGGCGGCAGGGGAAGAAAGAGAGAGAGAGAATCTTAAGCAGGGCACTTATGTGACTGAGCTTCCCAGGCGCCTTGAAAATTTTTTTTTAATAGCTTTAATCTCTGTTTATGGTCATAAAAGTAGATGACAGTAGATCCCACCAGTCCCACTTTCTAGATGCAATCCCTTTTAACTCATTTGGGTCTTTTTGTTTTGTTTTGTTTTGTTTTTTGGGGCTTTTGCCTTCCATGTTTTCTGAATAATATGCTTTTATTGTTCCTTCTTGATTTATCCTATTTAAGAAATATCTACTTCTTGGTATGACATATGAGGATTTAACTTATACTCCACTCCCTTCCTCCTCCTTCCAAAGCATTATTTAACTGTTTTAAATCTGTTGATCATCTTCATACATGGTAGTACTGTATTCAGTATTTTTTGACCGCTAACTCTAGACTCTTCACTATGTAGAATGAGGTTATTAACATCCCTCTCCTTTCCCATTAGTTCTCATTTATCCCTTCAGTTTCCCATTTTCAGTAAACTGTACTTTCACTTTGTCAAGGTGGAGAATATTTATATTCTACTCTGTAATCAATTAAATGTTACTTCCTTGCTCTAAAGGTTGAAAGTTAATAAACAAAGATTATAGTAAAGCTCTGTAAACATTGTTCACCATATGATCTAGTAGGTATGGTTAATATTAGAGACTTTTTGTTTTTTTCCTAAAATTTTTTTAGATTGTTTGCTTTCTCATAGCCTTTTTTTTTTTTACTTTCTAAATTCTCTGTCATGTCGAATATCTGAAATCACATTTTCCCCAGAAACCTCCCTAGCTGAACTTTCAATCTCCTGCTCCAGTATGAAATGTCTGGATCTCATTCTAGGACTACCTTTTACTGATACTCTGAATTGAGCACTCTGTTTTACAGATTTCTTTATCTTCTTTTTTTGGTTTTCTCTCATGTTTTGGTGGAGCATATCCTTTGTTAATTTCCAAAAATAGGGGGCTTATGAGAGGTGAATTTTCTGAGTCCTTAGATCTCAAAATATCTTTATACTGTTTTCACATTTACTTTCATAGTTTGGTTGAAAATCATTTTCCCTTACAGCTTAAAAGGCATTACTTCTTGTCTTTAGTGTTTTTGATGTGAAGTCTTTGCAAGATCATTTGTAGGAACTTTTTTTTTTTCTGCCTGGGAGCTTTTATGGACTTCATCCATAATGTCCTGTAATTTTTACAATGATGTATCAACATACGAGGTATTATTTTTCATTCCTTATGGGTTACTTGGAGGGCTCTTTCAGTCTCAAGATTGGTGTTCTTCAGTTGTGGAATAATTTCTTTCTCTTCTATTTTCTCATATTTTCTCAATCTTGATCTTTTTGTTCTGTTTTCTGAAAGATCTTGAGTTTTTTTTCCTCTCTAGTTTTCTTGGTCTTTCTCTTATGAAAAGGCTTTCATCAAAAATCAGTTGGTATCTCTCTGTCCATTCATATTTAAGAATGAGGTATGAAAAAATTGAGACATTCCTGGTACATAGATAGGGATTATTTACTCTCAGGTTTAGTAAAGTCTATGTAGGTGAGGAACTGGCTGTTCAGGGCAGGAGAAGCTCTAAGTGTTAGAAGGCTGGAGTCTTTTGCCAAAATATTTTAACTTTTTAGAGAAGTCACATTTTTTTGCCCAAGGAATAGTACCTTGGCTACCAAGTGTGGAGATTGCAAGGGAGGTGGTGTTGAGTATTTGGTAGTCACACTTTTAATTAATTATATTGATTTCAAACCCTCTACTCACTCCACCCTTCTGTAGTCATCATGCCCTAGATGAAAACTGCTCAGGGATTCTGCAAGTCAGATCAGCAATCGGCTCCTTTCCAAGATACTTCTCCCCTTCTGCATACCCCAACCTCATTTTTTTTCCCCACTGCCTTATCCCTTCTTTATTACTCTTTTGTTCTCTTTTTGTCTTGTAAATTTTGTAGAAATGTTTTTTCCAGGTATACTTCTGGTTAATTGTTTATACCTTTGTTTGTTTGTTGTTGTTTTTAACTATTCACTTTATAGGAGTCCCAGGAGGGAGAGATAGTGAATAGGAGTGGTCAGTTCACCATTTTGACCCAAAGGATCATTTTTTAATAATCATCAATAATTTTTTAATACTGACCTGTGATCTTATGTAGGAAATCATTTAGTCTACTTTAGAGGATCTTCAGCAAATGGCTGGGAGAGGTTTATTCAGCAAGCATTTGTTGAGTACACATAATTGAAGTTCCGTATGACACGTGCTATAATAGAGGTAACTGTAGGATGCTATTTGAATGGATTGAATAGGGGCTTTAGTTAATTTTGGAGTGGGGATGGAAGGTACAGAGAAAAATCTCTCAAAGGACCTAAACTCTGAAATTGCAGTAATTAGCTAAATGAAAAGCCCATATTCTCTGAAGAGCATAGTTGAAAGGATGCAAACATGAGTATGGCAAAATTGGTGGACCTGAGAATAATTTCTCATTGCTGGGCATGTATGTGGAAGGTGGTAAATAGAACTGGAGTGTTACTTAGGAACAAGGTTCTGGAAGGTTTGTGTTCGCTAGAATTGGTCTTGGAATTTTACCCTGAAAGCAGTGGGAAGCAGTTGTAGGATTTTAATTTTGCTAATGATATGATCAGGTTTGCATTTTAGAATCAGGAGAACAGGATGGAGAATGGGTGGGTGGCTTAGTCAGCTAAGTGTCTGCTTTCAGCCCAGGTCATGATCCCAGGGTCCTAGGATTAAGTCCTGTATCGGGCTTCCTGCTCAGTGAGCCTGGTTCTCCCTCTCCCTCTGCCTGCCATTCACTCTCTCCTGCTTGTGTGCTCGCTCGCTCTCTGTCTCTCTGTGTCAAATAACTAAATAAAATCTTTAAAAAAATTTTTTTTCTTTTATTACCTAAAAAGTGTCAATCTTTCTGGCTTCCCTTATAATGAGAAGTTAGCTGTGCCTAGATGTATTCTTTGTAGTTATCCTGCTTGGGGGTTCACTGAGCATTTTGGATCTGTGGTCTGGTATCTTTAATTAATTTTGGGAAATATTTACCATTATCTTTTAAAATACTTCTTCTCTTCTATTCTCTCTCTTCTCCTTTGAGGATTTTTAGTTACATATCCCATGTGGTCTTAGATTTCTGCTGTTTTATTCATTCTTTTTTCCCTTTGGACTAATTTTTGGCTAATTTATACTTTCCAATTTTCAAGTTCAAATATTCTTTCTTCTGCTGAGCTGGTGTGCTTCTCTGTCTTTGGTTTTCGGTAGTTATACAGCGATGTGTCTAACATGGTCTTCTTCATATCTGGTTTGGGGTTTATAGAACTTTTTGAATCAATGATGTATTAGTTTACTGGGGTTGCTGTAACAAAGTTTCTCAGACTGGGTGGTTTAAACATTAATTTGTTGTCTCCCTCATAATTCTAGAAGCCAGAAATCTGAGATCAAAGTGATAGCATGGTTGACTTTTTTTAAGATTTTATTTATTTGAGAAAAAGAGAGAGGACATGCATGAGTTGGGGGAGGGGCAGAGGGAGAGGGACAAGCAGATTTCCTGCTGAGCCAGGAGCCCAATGTGGGGCTCAGTCCCTGGACCTCAAGATTGTGACTGAGCTGAAGTCAGATACCTAACTGACCGAGCCTCCCAGGCATCCCCGCATGCTTTATTCTTTCTGAGGGTTGTGAGGGAAGGTTCTGTTCCTGGCTTCATAGTTTGACTTGTGGTGGCCATTTTCAATATCTCTTCACATTGTCTTTTCTCATGTGTGTCTGTGTCCAGATTTCCCCTTTCTCTAAGGATACCAGTCATTTTGGCTCAGGGCCGACCCTAATGACCTCATTTTAACTTGATTACTCTGTAAAACCTTGTCACATTCTGAGGTATATAGGGTTAGGACTTGGACCTATGACTCTGGAGGGTCACACCCCATAACAAATTGCTTGATGTTTTTCACAAATTTTGGAAAATTTTCCACTTTTATCTGTTCAGGTTTTCTTTTCCATTTCTCTCCTCTCCTGGAACCCTATAAAAACATATATTAGATCTCATCACTAAGTTCCTTTTTATGTTCCTTTTTGTATTTTCCATCCTTTTTCTCTCAGTGCTTCCTTCTAGATATTTTCTATTAACCAGTCTTCTAATTCATTAATTCTCTCTTCTGCTGAATCTTACCTGTTGTTAAACCCACCAATTTAATTTGCTTATTTTTCAGTTCTAGAATCACCATTTGATTTTCCCCCTCCCTTCCCCTGATTTCTTTTTACAAAGAATTTTATTTTCTAGTAAAATTCTGTTGATCTTTTTTCTTCATCTTTTCCTATCTTTCAGCTTTTCATTCTTTTTAAAATTTTGACACATTCTCAAACTTTTAAACACCATAAGTACATTATGAAGACATTTTTTTTCCTGAATCATTTGAAAATAAATTGGTGATGTCCTATCACCCCCAAATATTTTCATATGTGTTTTTCTGCCAGACTGTTATATTCTCCTTCATAACCATAAAGTATAGCCATTTAATCAAAAAATAATTCATACATTTACTATTATTATATAACACTTAAACCCTATACCGATTGACCAGTTTTTATAGCAGAAGATTCTGTCCAGAATAACAGGTTCCATTTATTGCATTTCTATTTATTTTCCTTGGATCTAAAACAATTCCTCAGTCTTTTCCTTGATTTTCATGTTTTAAATACGTTTAAAGATTATAAGGGGAAAAAAAGATTATAAGTCAAAATATTTTGTTCAGTGTCCCCCAGTTTGGATTTATGTGATGATTTTTGTGATCAGATTTAGGTTATGTGTCTTTAGTAGGGTTATCACAGAATTGATTGTATTCTTCTCTTTCCATTCTTTCATTTATCACACAAGTTTGATGTCTTCCACTACCTGTTCTATTCCTTTTGATATCTTATAGATGTAGTATCTTCCAGCCTTGTCCATTGAAAAGTTTTCACTTGGTAATTACTATGGATTGAATTGTGTATCCCCAAAAGATGTTGGAGTCCCAATTCCTGGTACACATGAATGTGGCCTTACTTGGAAATAGGGTCTTTGCAGATGTAATCAAATTAAGCTGAGGTCATTAGGGTGAGCCTTATATAATATAACTTACGTCATAATAAGAAGAGGGAAATTTGGGTACAGACAGACACACAGGGAGAACATCATGTGACAACCAAAACAGATATTTTATTGATGTGGCTACAAGCCAAGGAACACAAAGGGTTAATGGCTACCACCAAAGTGAGGAAAAGGCAAAGAAGGATAGCCCTGCTGACACCTTGATTTTAGACTTCTAGCCACCAGAATTAGGAGATAATACATTTCTGTTGTTTTTAAGCCTCCCAAGTTGTGGTACTTTATTACCACAAACCTAAGAAGGTAATAGAGTAATTAGTAAGTGTTTTCCGGGGAGGTTTTTTGAAACATTGTGAATAACTTATTCATCATAAAACTTTCAATTTATTCATTTATTTAAATAAGTATGGACCCATAGAGTCTTTTTATTCTATGTTTTAATTAATTACTACCAGTAATTATTGTGATGCTCAAATTGTTCCAGATTTGGCCAGTGGGATCTCTTTTCAGGCTGCTTTCTGTGTTCTTTACAAGTCCCCATCATTTTCAGAGCATTTTGTTACTTCTGGAATAAGGTTTTCCATCTCATCTTGCACTGTTCTGCCTGGCCCTTGAGTCAGTCATTTCTCCAAGGAGCTTGAGTTCCTTTTAGTGAAAAATCATTTAGAAACCATCTGAATGGGACACCTGGGTGGCTAAGTCTATTAAATGTCTGCCTTCGGCTCAGGTCATGATCTCAGGGTCCTGAGATAAAGCCCCATACCAGGCTCCCTGCTCAGTGGAAGTCCTGCTTCTCCTTCTGCCTCTTCCCCACCTCAGCTCTCTCTTGCTGTCTCTCTCTCTCTCAAAGAAATAATTAAAATCTTTAAAAAGAAAAAAAAAGAAACCATCTGAGTATTAGGTGTACTCATCGATGTCGGGATATCACAGCTGCTAAACCCTATCAGTGTACAGAGCTAGGAAATAGATGTATGTTTACATACTTATCCTGTCTGTACACACACGTACATCTATATTAATTTCTTTGTCTGTCTATATGTTCTCTCCATTCCTAATCCAACACCACAGTATTCATTCTGGTTTTCTCCGTTTTCCTGTTTGTAATTGCTTTTTCTAACAGTGTAAAACCTTGTCCCCCTTATTTTCAATACATTCACTTACTTGATCAGTCCCTGTGTGTAGGGGAACCTGGATGGCTCAGTCAGTTAAGCATCTGCCTTCGGCTCAGGTCATGATCTCAGGGTTCTGGGGATCAAGCCCTGCATTGGGCTCCCTCCCCAGCAGGGAGTGTGCTTCTCCCTCTCCCTCCATCCCTCCCCTCTGCTCATGCTCACACACTCTCTCTCTCTCTCTCTCTCAAATAAATAAATAAAATCTTAAAAAAAAAAAAAAAAACCTCTGTGTAGGCAGATAACCATCACATCCATCCCTCCTTATCCACCTCTGGGCTTTCTCGTATCTTACTTCAGCATCCCATGCAATGCCTTCCTCATATTTTCACACACTCTCTCTCTGGTTCTTCCCAGCTTCTAGGGCATGACTCTGTCTCCCTCTGGTTCTTCCCAGCTTCTAGGGCGTAGAGTTTTCCCACTGAGAGGCTGGAGTGATCACTAGGGCCCTCTTCCCCTGAATGATTTGAAGTCTAATTCTTGTCTCCTTAACACCTAAGCCTGTGTTAAACTACTCTTTTCAGAAGCTTCCTGTTTGGCTTCTTAATTCCCTCTTCTTCAGAATTCAGGAAATATCTTGAAGAGCTAAAATAACATGTGGTTGAGCCTGTTTCACCAGAATCTTGGCCTTTCGAATCTTTAATTTCTATCTCTGTAGACCAGCAAGACTGTTAAAAAGCTGTGCTTTTTCTTCATATGTAGTAGTGGCCCTTTGCCTTGTCCTTTTACCTGAATTATCAAATTCGTACCTGGCTCTCCCAAGTCAGCAGAATCCTGAGAAAAAAGGCAACTGCAGAATGTCAGCTTAGCTTTCTTTCCTTATGGTTTCCCCCTGGTGTAGGACTTGCCTCTTAAGTTTTGGTTGCCTCAGCACTCCTACCACACTGAAACATGTGTGCATGAGTGCGTGTGTGTTCAAGTATGTATGTGTATATATCTGGCTTTCCTAGTTGTTCTTGGTGGGAGCATTGTTCTACTGCAAGCTACTCAGGTATATCCAGAAGCAAAAGCTCAACTCTAGTATATTCTTTTCTGTCCCATTCCTTTTTTAAAATGTTTCTTGTTTTACCACCCAAACACCCAAAATGATTTTGCAATCTTATGATCCAAGACTCTTAACTCTTAACTTAAAGAAAAAAAACACACTGTTTTAAGGCATGAACATTAAGATCAGATCAATAGGATTTAAGCTGAGTGATGAAGGCTGGCATCAGCAATGGCATGTCATATTGAATATGTGTACCCTTGATGTGACATGATGATAATAGTGCTTTACATCCATGGTCTTCCTCCTAAACACCTTTAACCCCAATCTGATCATGAGAAAAACATCAGGCAAATCTCAAATTTGAGGGACAGTCTATAAAATACCTGACTGGTACCATCAAGGTCATGAAAAACAAGGAAAATCTAACCACCTCACAAATAAGTGGGGCCTAAGAAGACATGACTATTAAATGTATTGTGGTTGGGGTGCCTGGGTGGCTCAGTGGGTTAAAGCCTCTGCCTTCGGCTCAGGTCATGATCCTGGGTCTTGGGATCGAGCCCCGCATCAGGCTTTCTGCTTGGCAGGGAGCCTGTTTCCCTTCCTCTCTCTCTCTGCCTGCCTCTCTGCCTACTTGTGATCTCTGCCTATCAAATAGATAAATAAAATCTTTTTTTAAACAAATAAATAAATAAATAAATGTACTGTGGTTTTTCCCACGTGGGATCCTGGAATAAAAAAAGGACATTATAAATAAATAAAATCTTAAAAAAAAAAAAATGATCCTGGGGTCCTGGGATCGAGCCCCACATCAGGCTCTCTGCTCGGCGGGGGGCCTGCTTCCTCCTCTCTCTGCCTGCCTCTCTGCCTACTTGTGATCTCTGTCTGTCAAATAAATAAAAAAAAAAGGACATTAGATAAAAACTGAAGAAGTCTGCCTTAAGTATGTGGACTTCAGTTAATAATAATTATCAAAATTTGCTCATTAATTGTGACAAATATATCATACTAATGTTTGAGGTTAATAAAAGGGATAATTAGGAACTCTGTATAATCTTCACAGTAATTTTTTATACCTAAAACTGTTCTAAAATCAAGTTTATTTCTTTAAAAAATCCATACTATTTGATTTCATATGCTAAACTTTATTTATGGATTTCGTTTTTGTCTGTCTTCTTAGTTATTGTCATATCTCCAGTACCTAGAAGATTGGCCAGCACATTTAAGCCCTCAGTAAATATTGGGTCAGTTAGATTGGTAGAAGAGAGCAAAAGAGGATTAAGTACAGATAACTTGGGCAACTGCATGGATGGTAATATTCATTTAGGGAGTATAAAAAGCAGAGATTGGAAACTGTTCCAGGCTTGAAGGGTGATTTTTTTTATTGTTGTTGTTTTGTACCAGGGATATAGTTAATAATAATGAGGGAATCTGGTCAAAGTCAAAATGGTAACATCTTGTTCCTTTTCTCAGAAGAATAACTCTTCTTTTCCTCTTTTAGGCATATAAAACCTTCGCTAATCGAGTGAACAATTTAAAGAAAAAGCTGGATCAATTGAAGTCAACCCTTCCTGATCCTGAAGAATCACCAGTCCCTTCCCCAAGCATGGATGCTCCTTCTCCAACTGGTTCTGAGTCTCCTTTTCAGGGAATGGGAGGTGAGGAATCCCAATCACCAGCCATGGAGAGTGAGAAATCTGCCACACCTGAGCCTGTGACAGATAATCGTGATGTAGAAGACATGGAACTCTCAGATGTGGAAGATGATGGGTCAAAAATCATTGGTATGTCTTTATGGGGTTAATAGGCAACTTGTTCCTTACCTATTTTGCTTTCCCACCAATGAATCTATCACAGGCTGGTACTAAAAGATAGCTTAATCCTTATAAGATTAGAACAGCATGTATTATTATCCTGGTTCAGGATTTGGTAAACCACACGGGCTAAGAATCATCCCTTAAGATTTGGTCCATTCAGCGAGGTAGCCACTAGCTACATGTGACTATTGAGCATTTGAAATGTGGCTTTTCCAACTTGAAATGTGCTCTACTTAAAAAATACACGATGGATTCTAGAAACTTAGTACCCACAAAACATAAAAATATCTCAATTATTTTTGTATTTATAACATATTGAAATGAAAATATTTGGGAAATAGTGAGATAAAATACATAATTTTATCCGTTTCTACTTTTTTGAAAGTGGCCACTAGAAAATTTAAATTTATACGTGTGGCTTAAGTTGCATTTCTATTGAACAGCAGTGTTCTAGAGGGAGGGGCACTTACACTGAAATACCTTACATCTGTCACTCTTGACCTTCAAGATTCCAAAGCCATAGTTTGTTAACTATGCTTTCAAAATTAACCTGGCGGCCCCTGGCTGGCTCAGTGGGTAGAACATGTGGCTCTTGATCTCAGAGTCGGGAGTTTGTGTCCCACATTGGGTGTAGAAATTACATACATAGATACATACATACATACACATGTACATACACAAACACACAAACTTAACCTAGATCAGTGCATTGTTTCTGTGACACCCCCAGCTTTTATAATTATTCTTCTTAGGCAGTTGGCCTTCTGTTGAATTTAATGCATTCTTCATATATATATGAAGTATATAGTACATAGCCTTTAAAGTATTAGAAGGAGTATATTGTAAAGCCCATTTATTGCAGTTTCATGTTAGTGTCTACAGTTGTATCCACCAGTTAGGCCAATTTTAGGAAGTCAAAGAAAAAATACAAGAAAGTATGTACAGAGTTTCTATGTCTTAGAAAGCTTTCAGGTTAATGGAAAGGAAAGGACAGGGATAATTCATAACTATAAATATCATGACTGAAAGAACATAAATATGTACCAAATAATGAAATTATCACAGAAATGTACAAATTTAATACACAAATACTAAAAAAAATGCAAAGACATCTTTGAAAAGACAAAAAATGAATTTGGGAAATTTATTTTAAGCAGGCATTGAAGGTCAGAAGGAACATAAAGAGTATGACTTATTTAAAAATCATAAAGTGAATGATTTTTCTCTAAAGCTTAGTGCTTTATACCTCCAGATCAGGAACTATTAGGACATGTTTCATACTGGAAGCAGAGTGTGGAAAGCAGTAATGCAGTATCACCTCTTTTCTTTAAACAGTAGAGGACAGGAAGGAAAAACCTGTGGAGAAGTCAGCTGTATCTACTTCTATGTCTACAAAGCCAACAGAAAGTATCTCAAAGGCCTCTTCATGTACCCCAGTGCCTGTTACCATGACAGCAACCCCACCTCTTCCAAAGCCTGTGAATACTTCTCTCCTGTCCCCTTCTCCAGCGTTGGCTTTGCCAAACCTGGCTAATGTGGATCTGGCAAAGATCAGTTCTATCCTTAGCAGCCTAACATCAGTCATGAAGAATACTGGTAAGTAAGTCCCATAAGAGAATAAAAAGCTTATTTTCATCTTTCTAATTGAGCCATCAGTCTGGTTTTTTGTTGATTTTTTTTTCTTATATTAAAAGTAATTTTTTTCCTTAAGATTTTATTTATTCATTTGACAGAGAGAGAGCACAAGCAGGGGCAGCAGCAGGCAGAGGGAGAGGGAGAAGCAGGCTCCCCACTGAGGAGGGAGCCCGATTCGGGGCTCAATCCCAGAACCCTGGGATCACGACCTGAGCCAAAGGCAGACACTTAAAGACTGAGCCACCCAGGTGCCCCTAAAAGTAATTTTTTAAATCAAAAAACAAAAACAACAACAACAAAAAAACAGTACATGGTCATTATAGAAAAATTAGAAAATAAGAGAATAAAATAAGTATCTCCAGTCCTGCCACCCCAAAGGACACCACTTGTGTTTAACCTTATATGTGTGTATTTGTGTGTTTGAGAGAATGTTTTGGTAGATTAAATATTTATAATAGTTTTTCTTTCAATAATTGAAGGATATTTATACTTCACTATATTTATAATGAATTTATTTATCTAAGCCTTTATTACTAGGCATCTGGTATATTTCCAGTTTTTCACTATTATAAAGAACAATGAACAACCTTGATGCTAAACTTTATGCACAGCCCTTCCAAAATGATTGAGTATATAGGGTTTTTTTTTTCTCTTCATGGAAATTTAATGAAAATATACAAAAGTGTGGGGCACCTGGGTGGCTCAGTGGGTTAAAGCCTCTGCCTTCAGCTCAGGTCATGATCTCGGGGTCCTGGGATCGAGCCCCGTATCGGGCTCTCTGCTCGGCGGGGAGCCTGCTTCCTCCTCTCTCTCTCTGCCTGCCTCTCTGCCTACCCGTGATCTCTATCTGTCAAATAAATAAATAAAATCTTTAAAAAAATATATATATATATACAAAAGTAGAGCATCTCCATGTACTCGTCACTCATCCTCAGCAGTAGAAACACATGGCCAGTCTTGTTTCTGCTGTGCCTTACCCAATCTTGATTGTTTTGAAGAAAATCCCAATTATTTAATTTATTTATAAAAACTTAAATATAGGGGCTCCTGGGTGGCTCAGTGGGTTAAAGCCTCTGCCTTCGGCTCAGGTCATGGTCCCAGGGTCCTGGGATCGAGCCCCGCATCGGGCTCTCTGCTCGGCAGGAAGCCTGCTTCCTCCTCTCTCTCTGCCTGCCTCTCTGCCTACTTGTGATCTCTATCTGTCAAATAAATAAATAAAATCTTAAAAAAAAAAAAAAAAACTTAAATATATTTTTCTAAAAGATAAAACCAAATAAAATCAATATGTAGGTTTTTAGTCTTTTCATGTTAAAACTAAAATGATTACCAAAAATGTACTACTTTATGTACCAAGCACATGAAAGTTCCCATTGTTCCTCAACCTCTGCAACACTATTTTGTCTTATTTTAATACTTTGTCAAATTCAGCCTTAAAAAGTCATTTGGGGGGCACCTGAGTGGTTCAGTTGTTAAGCGCCTTCCTTTGGCTCAGGTCATGATCCCAGGATCCTGGGATTGAGCCCCACATTGGACTCCTTGCTCCGCAGGAAGTCTCCTTCTCCCTCTCCCATTTGCCCTGCTTGGCAGTAGAGCATGCATCTCTTTCTCTTTTTTTTTTTTTAATGTGTAATCTCTACACCCAGCGTGGGGCTCAAACCCACAACCCTGAGATCAAGAGTTATATGCTCCACAGACTCAGCCAGCCAGGTGTCCCAAACATGCAGCTCTTTTTTTTTTTTTTTTAAAGACTTTTATTTACTTATTTGTCAGAGAAAGAGAGCACAAACAGTTGGAGGGGCCTGCAGAGAGAGAAGCAGGCTCCCTTATGGGCAAGGAGGTGGGACTCGATCCCAGCACCCTGGGATCTTGACCTGAGCTGAAGGCAGATGCTTAACCGACTGAGCCACCCATACGTCCCAGCATGCAACTCTTGATCTCACGTTTGTGAGTTCAAGCCCCATATTGGGTGTAGAGATTACTTGAAAAAACAAAAAGGCACCTGGTTGACTCGGTTGAGCATCTGATTCTTGATTTTGGATCAGGTCAAGATCTCCGGGTTGTAAGATAGGGCCCCGTGTTGGGCTCCCTGCTGGGTGTGAAGCCTGCTTAAGATTCTCTCCACCTCCCTCTGCCTCTCTTGCCCCCAACTCTCTCTCCAAAAAAAAAAAAAAAAAAGTTACTTGTTTTAGTTTACATCTCTTTGATTAAGATATGGTTGAAACCTTTTCATTTCTTTATCATTTAGTTTTCCTTGTGAAATAGCTGTTCATATTTTTGGTCATTCAAAGATTATTTTCTTTTTATATACTTTTTTCTTATATATTAAAAACTAACCCAGTGTTTTAAAATATAAAGATGTAGGGGCTCCTGGCTGTCCCAGTCCCTGGAGGGTGCAGCTCTTGATTTTGTGGTCGTGAGTTCAAGCCTCATGTTGAGTGTGGAGCCTATTTAAAAATATGTATATATTTAAAGATGTAAAGGAAGTTGCTTATATAATCTCATTTTAAAAGCAACATATTAATCACATAGAGTTATGCAGTGGCTGGGTTACACAGTTGTAGTGGCTCTGATCATAATCAGCCATTAATACTTACTGAGTACCTGACAGGACTCTGAGGTATAGGTTCCACTTGGCAGAGAAAAACAGAAAGAGGTTCCCAAAATCTTTCTATTGGCTTTTAAAAGTGACAAATACATATGAACAAAACTTAATACTTATTTACCTTAGGGGTGTTCCAAGTCAACAGGAGCAGATTTTAATCTAATGTTCAGTTTTTCCTTTGTACAAGCCATGATATGTCCTATTTGTGGATCTGTCACAGAGACATTCCTGATTGAGTGGGAAGGATCATGAGTTTAATGATTATTTTGAATTGCATTTTCTTGAGTTATACTTTCTGCCACCAGGGGTCAGTCCTGCATCAAGACCTTCTCCAGGAACTCCTACAAGTCCCAGCAACCTCAGCAGTGGCCTGAAAACACCTGCACCTGCCCCAACAACATCTCACAATCCTCTGGCAAATATCCTCTCAAAGGTGGAGATCACCCCAGAGAGCATTCTGTCTGCTCTTTCCAAAACCCAGACACAGTCAGCCCCAGCACTGCAAGGTAAACCAACATATGCCAGAGGGACTTGAATTGTGAGTGTTTGCCTCTGGCCTGATCTTGGATTCCATTTCTGAAGAATCCAAAGTCATGGAATGTATAGTACAGTTATTTAGTATCTTCTTTATATGTATCATCTATAAGCTGCCATTCATAGAGTGAGGTGATGTGATCTGCTTAAAGTCGCACATTTATCTATTCAGTGATGAACTGAGACTAAAAGCCAGTTTTTTTAACTGGAGTCCTGTGTTCGTCCATCTACACCATGACCCCCCCAACCCTCAGGGGCTGCATTCCAGCTTTTATAGTATATACTGAGGTTTACATTTTTAGTGTAAACCAAAGCTAAAGATAGTGAGAAAGGTCAGTCTACTGTCGAAAATCTTACAAGACAGGGCGCCTGGGGAGTGCAGTCTGTTAAGTGTCTGACTCTTGGTTTTGGCTCAGGTTGTGATCTTGGGGCTGTGAGATCAAGCCCTGAATCAAACTCTGCAGTTAGTGCAGTGTCTGCTTAAGACACTCTGTGCCTTTTCCTCATCTTCTTCTCTCTTTCTTTCTCGAATAAATAAATCCTTAAAAAAATATCTGAGACACCTGGGTGGCTTATTCAGTTAAGCATCTGCCTTCAGCTCAGGGCATGATCCCAGGGTCCTGGGATGGAGCCCTGCATCAGGCTTTCTGCTCATTGGGGAGTCTGTTGCTCCCTCTCCCTCTGCTTCTGCCTTCCACTCCCCCTGCTCGTGCATGCTCTGTCTCCATCTCTCTCTCTCTGAAAAATATTAAATAAAATATTTTTTAAAAATCTTATGAGATATGAGTTTTTGTTTTTAATGTCCTAATGTATTAGAGAGGCCTCTATATATAGGTGTAGCACATCTTTTTTGTGTTCGCCTACCTATAATCTCTACCTTATTTGAACCTCTTGTTCGGCTCTGCTAATTACCTATTCTATGTCTAAAACTGTCTGCTTCTAATATTTTTTCATAAAGCTCACCTGTTCTCTCTTCTCAGACCCTCCAGATACCAGCACAATCTTTATTTGGAACCTAAGTATAATTATGCGATGAATTACAAATACTAGAGCAGTATCTTCAATACAGCAATTTAACTGCGGTTCTCACCCAGCAGCCTCCAGGGGACATTTGCCAATGTCTGAGCACGTTTTTGTTTGTCACAACTGGGGTGGGGGTGGGAGTGCCACTGCATCTAGTGGGCAGAGGCCAGAGATGCTGTTAAAGATCCTGCAATGCAGACCACAGCCCCCACGACAGAGACTAATCCAGCCCCACATGCTGGTAGTGCTAAGGTTGAGAAACCCTGCTTTATATGAATAGAGACCACAACAGGTTTCTATTAATTTTATTTCCTAAACTATTCTGTAAGTGGATCAGCCAAGGACTAGATTATAGTGAACTTTGCCTTTCGATAAGATATAGGAGATTTTTGTTACACAAACTTAAATGCTATTAAATAGTAACCTACAGGGCGCCTGGGTGGCTCAGTTTGTTAAGCGACCGCCTTCAGCTCAGGTCATGATCCCAGGGTCCTGGGATCGAGTCCCGCATCGGGCTCCCTGCTCCATGGGGAGTCTGCTCCCTCTGACCTTCTCCCCTTTCATGCTCTCTCTCACTGTCTCTCTCTCAAATAAATAAATAAAATCTTAAAAAAAAAAAACAAATAGTAACCCACAGTTACCAGATATTGGCACCAGCAATAAAGGATTAATGATCTACTACAGCATATCTAATAGTAAGGATTTTAGAGATAATTAGTTTGAGGGATCAGCATGGTTATGATTTCTACCTTCTAGGCCCTCTTCTCTCACCATCCTGCAGTTCTAGTAAAAATGTTGAACTCACTTGTTTTTATTAGCCTCTTATATAGATGGGTATAATAATATTTACAGCTTTTTCTTTCAGTTGATTATTGTACCATGTCTTGTGGACTTTCTTATCAGGCAAAATTTGAGCAGAACTAAGTGTGCTCTGACAGAATGCTTTTCTGGAGACCCCAGAAAACAACCTTTGTGGAGTAGTTCATCACCTTTCATTTCCTTATGGAGAGTAGAATTCTTGATTTTTAAAAGACTATAAAAGGATTCTCTTATTAGAGTCTCTGATTGTGTCACCACAACTATTATTGACAGGTTTTCAACACAAAAGAACAACTTCAGTGGGCAAAAGGGCCATAGAGGATAGCCTGTTAAGATTGAAGAAAAGTAATATTTAGCGGCTTAGTAGTAGAAGACCATCTCACCAGTTACCAGAAATCTGAGTAGTGTCATTTCAACCCACAGTATCTAAAAGATATGCTGAAATATCTTTTAAAATTCATATGATGTCATATATCACATTCTAGTGCTTGAGGATTTTTGTATGAACAGTGGCTACTAAGAGTTAAATCATACTGTTAGTGGGGTAAGTTACAGAGCCAGAGAACTTTTTGGAAATGAAACGTGGAACTTATTTTTCAGGAGGATAATTGAAATAAATGATATGTATTTTTCAGATATTAGTGAATATTGGATAACAAAAATCATGCACTTTACTATATAGAAACTGTTGGCAATTAAAAATGTTCCAAGGATAGGGGTGCCTGGATGGTGCAGTCTGTTAAGCATCCTCCTCTTTGTATCTGCAAGGTTGGTGGTCTCAAGGTCATGATCTCAGGATTGTGAGATCAAGCCCCACGCCAGCTTCCACGCTCAGTGCAGAGTCTGCTTAAGTTTCTGTCTCCCTCTCCCTGACTTACTCTCTAAAATAAATAAATCAATCTTTTAAAAAAAATGTTCTAAGGATGGAGTGATCTCAGAATTCTTCAGAGCTTAAGTCACTTAGTAAATATTGGATTAAAATTGAAATTTTGAAGAAACATATAATTAAAGTATCCTCTGAAATACTGTTTTCTTTCACCCTTATCATTATGGAAGAACAGTTTTCGTGTGTGATTAAAAGCTATAAACTTGGGGCGCCTGGGTGGCTCAGTGGGTTAAAGCCTCTGCCTTCGGCTCAGGTCATGGTCTCAGGGTCCTGGGATCGAGCCCCGCATCGGGCTCTCTGCTCGGCAGGGAGCCTGCTTCCTCCTCTCTCTCTCTCTGCCTGCCTCTCTGCCTCCTTATGATCTCTGTCAGGTAAATAAATAAAATCTTTAAAAAAAAAAAAAGCTATAAACTTGGGTGAAGTATGCACAAAAAGTTTTCATTTATAAGTGCAAATTGGGTAAATTTTCCAAAATATCATTGAATTTATAGGACTCCTATTTATCTCTTTGTCAAGTATTTTTCTAAAAAATTTTCTACAGGAGCAGTTTGCTTTGGTGGACTTCAGCCTTTGCCCCAAAGAATTCTTTCTCAGAGCTTCTGAGGTTTTGTCTGTCAGTGAGTAGGTTTGAATCTCATCAATGTCAGCCTGGGTCAATGAATAATTCTTGAATTTTCCAAGCTATAAGGTGGTCCAGCTTTGTAATTCTTTGTGGTGTGTGTATGTGTGTTTGTATGTTTACTACTGCTACATTTTACAACCAAAAATGATATCTAAAAGCATTGTTTCCCCAAAGCCTAGCAAGAGACGCTTGGAAAAAAGTGACCCTTGAAATAAATTTGAGCAATGTGCATATACTGTCTCTCTCTTGAGAATAACACTGTATATTAACTTATTAGAAACAGTTGTGGAGGCTGGAAAGGAAGAGTTGGACAGAATATCTATTTGCATTTAGAGAAACAGTACCACAGATCCAATGTTAAGAAATACTGGCTTAAAGTGTTATTTTAAGGATAATTTTGCCTCCTTTCTTCTCCTGCTTTGTCTTGTTTAAACTGTGAATGATTCTGACACTAAAATCTCCCCTTTCCTGTTGCCTTTTATTGTGCTATGTTGGACTTGTTTGATAACTGCAGTAGAAACATTTCAGTAATTTGCTTTCTTTATATTGAGAAGTAGGTCCAATATTTTCTATGACATTTAGCCATTGCTTGTTTGGTGTGGATTCTCTTTGGCCTCATATTATAATGTCTATCTTGTTCCCACTGGAATGAATGAGAATATCCGATTAGCGACATTGTTTTTATTGTAAGGTAGGCAGTTCTTTTTAATTCCTCTAATCTCTGTTTCTACAGGCCTGTCATCTTTACTTCAGAGTGTTACTGGGAACCCAGTCCCAGCCAGTGAAGCCGCATCCCAGAGCACTTCAGCTTCCCCTGCCAACACCACAGTCTCTAGCATAAAAGGAAGAAATCTGCCCTCCAATACCCAATCCTTTATTCCTAAAAGCTTCAACTATTCTCCTAATTCATCAACTTCTGAAGTCTCTTCAACATCAGCCAGCAAGGCCTCAATCGGGCAAAGCCCAGGGCTCCCAAGCACTACTTTTAAGCTACCATCCAACTCTGTTGGGTTTACAGGAACCCACACTACTAACCCTGCTGCCCCACCTACTGAAGTTGCCATGTGCCAATCTTCAGAGATCTCCAAGCCAAAGCTGGAGTCCGAGTCCACCTCTCCAAGCCTGGAAATGAAGATCCACAACTTCTTAAAAGGTAATCCTGGTTTCAGTGGCTTAAACTTAAACATCCCAATCTTGAGCAGCTTGGGGTCCAGTGCCCCAGCAGAAAGCCACCCCTCAGACTTCCAGCGTGGCCCTACTAGCACGTCAATCGACAACATTGACGGAACCCCTGTGCGGGATGAAAGGAGTGGTACACCCACCCAGGATGAGATGATGGACAAGCCCACATCCAGCAGTGTAGACACCATGTCCCTGCTTTCTAAGATCATTAGCCCTGGTTCCTCAACACCCAGCAGTACAAGATCACCACCCCCTGGGAGAGAGGAAAGCTACCCCCGGGAACTCTCCAATTCTGTACCTACATATCGACCTTTTGGCCTGGGCAGTGAATCACCCTATAAGCAGCCTTCTGATGGAATGGAGAGACCATCTTCCCTGATGGACTCTTCACAGGAAAAGTTCTATCCAGATACTTCTTTCCAGGAAGATGAGGATTACCGAGATTTTGAGTACTCAGGGCCTCCACCCTCTGCTATGATGAACCTAGAGAAGAAGCCAGCCAAGTCTATCCTGAAGTCAAGCAAGCTTTCTGAAACCACCGAATACCAGCCAATCCTCTCCAGTTATAGCCACAGGGCCCAAGAATTTGGGGTAAAGTCTGCCTTCCCTCCATCTGTAAGGGCCCTCCTGGACTCTAGTGAGAATTGTGACCATCTCTCCTCTTCCCCTGGGCTATTTGGTGCCTTCAGCATAAGAGGGAGTGAACCAGGGTCTGACCGGTCACCATCACCGAGTAAGAATGATTCATTTTTCACCCCTGACTCCAACCACAATAGCTTGTCTCAGTCTACTACCACTGGGCATCTTGGTTTGCCACAGAAGCAGTACCCAGACCCTCCTCACCCAGTCCCACATCGTTCCCTTTTCTCTCCGCAGAATACCCTTGCCGCTCCCACGGGCCACCCACCCACACCAGGCGTGGAGAAAGTCCTGGCCCCCACCATTTCCACCACGTCGACGATTGAGTTTAAGAATATGCTTAAAAACGCCTCCCGAAAGCCCTCAGACGATAAGCATTTTGGCCAGGCACCCAACAAGGGTACTTCAAGTGATGGTGTTGTCGGTCTCTCAAACCTCGCCCAGCCCAGCTTGACAGCCACTGAGCAGCAGCAACAAGAAGAGCACTACCGCATAGAAACCCGAGTCTCCTCCTCCTGCTTAGACTTGCCCGATAGCACCGAAGAGAAGGGAGCCCCTATAGAAACCTTGGGTTATCATAATGCATCCAATAGGAGGATGTCAGGGGAGCCAATACAGACCGTAGAGTCCGTCCGAGTTCCTGGGAAGGGAAATAGAGGACATGGGCGTGAGGCTTCAAGGGTGGGTTGGTTTGATCTGAGCACCTCAGGCAGCTCCTTTGACAATGGCCCCTCAAGTGCCTCTGAGTTGGCATCCCTTGGGGGCGGGGGCAGCGGAGGCCTCACTGGCTTTAAAGCGGCACCATACAAGGAACGGGCACCCCAATTTCAGGAAAGTGTCGGCAGCTTCCGTTCCAACAGTTTCAACTCAACATTTGAGCATCATCTCCCCCCGTCCCCCTTGGAACATGGGGCACCCTTCCAGAGAGAGCCAGTGGGGCCATCATCTGCCCCACCTGCCCCTCCTAAGGATCATGTTGGTATCTTCTCTCGAGATGCACCCACTCATCTACCCTCTGTGGATCTTTCGAACCCCTTCACAAAGGAGGCGGCCCTGGCCCACGCCGCCCCACCCCCTCCTCCTGGAGAGCACAGCGGAGTTCCTTTCCCCACCCCACCCCCTCCTCCACCCCCTGGGGAGCATAGCAGCAGTGGTGGGAGTGGTGTTCCCTTTTCTACTCCACCTCCTCCTCCACCCCCTGTTGACCACTCTGGGGTTGTACCCTTCCCAGCCCCACCACTGGCAGAGCACGGAGTGGCAGGAGCTGTGGCAGTATTTCCTAAGGACCATAGTTCCCTCCTTCAAGGGACCCTGGCTGAGCATTTTGGGGTGCTCCCAGGACCCAGGGACCATGGGGGCCCCACCCAACGGGACCTCAACGGCCCTGGCCTTAGCCGTGTACGAGAGAGCCTCAGCCTACCTTCCCATTCTCTGGAGCACCTGGGCCCAGCCCATGGAGGAGGAGGTGGGGGAGGCAGCAACAGCAGCAGTGGCCCCCACTTGGGTCCCTCACACAGAGACGCCATCAACCGGAGTGGTATGATTTTGCGGAATCCCCGGCCAGACTTTCGGCCTAGGGAACCTTTTCTCAGCAGAGACCCGTTCCACAGTCTAAAGAGACCCAGGCCACCTTTTGCTAGGGGCCCTCCGTTCTTTGCACCAAAACGCCCATTCTTCCCTCCCAGGTACTGATGGAAACCAAGGGAAAAAGCATTTTGAACAGTCTAGAGAGCATTGGAAGTAGGAATTTGGTTTATTGTTCTTTTTATGTTTTCCTTCCTCTGATTTAAATTTTTTTAATGACAAAGGGCCTCCCTTCCAAATTTAAAAGTCATACATGCTTACATTTCACTATTCCATCCAGTCCTCCCTCCCACTGCACTTAACTGACCTTCCCCAAGCTACTTGTATTTTAAAGGGGGCAAGGGGTGGGAGGGAGAGGAGGGGGCAAAGAAACACAACCAAAGCCACTTCACTTGGCTGGGGGTTTGAGGGGTGGGAGGAAAAACAGATCTTATTTTACCCCATTTATTGAAGAGTATTATTACATTTGAAATAAAACTTCCATCAGTACAGAGAATAACATGTGCAATGTTGGGATGTTATTTTGGGTTTGGCTTATCACATAGTCAATAGAAGGATTCCTATCCCCTTCTCTCTCCCATTAAGTAACTACTGTGACCAGCGTGGCTCTCTTTCCTGAATGCTCTGTGCACTGCTGACGAGCCCAAAAGATGTTGCAAGGGAGGATAGGTGGGAGACCACGGACCTGTCAAGTTGGTTTTGTTTTTAAAGACCTATTGAAGTTGGGTTCTTTACCTTTCTCCTAAAATCTTAATTAAAGAAAATCAGCCTCTTCTAAAGGACTATCCGTCATTAACTTGGAGGAGATACGGATCTCATTCTACCCTAGTAAAAATTATTCCTCTTTATCCTTGGAATGAAAGGGTACTGGATATAATCTCCAGGTTAAAATAAGGTGTAACTGCAATGAAGAGAGAAAGGAACCACCAGTAGTGCAATGTGACCTGCATATCCCTCCTCATAAACAAGACTGGGAGACCTTTTGAGGTAGTTTGATATGTCTTGCACCAACTTTTGCTTCCTGCTTTTCTTTCTTGATTGACTTTTTCTCCCTCAGTTTTCACTTCTGCTTTGGCCGGACAGAAAGTCATTATTACAAGTGACGACACAAAGATGCAACTAAAATATTATCCCTCAATTTTTTAATGTAAAAGGTAGATGTTTTTACCATGGTGCCTCCCTAATGTAAGTGATATTTGTTGGTGGTTTTTAACAAAGGTTAACTACTGAGGAAAGGGAACTATTGGCCTGTATCCTTCTTTCCTCCTTGCCCTACACTTGTATTTACAGCTGTTCTTGGTATTTCGGAGAGGGTTCAGTAGTATCTTTCAGTGCGTTACGCCTCTTTAGGTGTGTCTTGATGACAAGTGGGTTTCACTATATTTATCTTTTCAGAGAACCAGGGGGAGCTGAGAAATCCAAATTGACCCCATTCTACAGCTAGCAGCCTGTCACATTTAAAGGCTCAAGCCTTATCCTCACCTTCCACTCCCAGTAGGAAATAATGTTTCTGCCCTTAGTCATTTTACATGAGAAGGGTGTGCTTTCCTTCTCCCCAAACTGAAAGGCTTCTTTGTAGTTCTCCAACTAGTACTGGGAAAAAAGACAATCCGTACGCTTTGAGTGTTTATAACTTTATATCTAGGAACACTGAAAAGCAAAGATTGCTTTATTATTATGTTGTGTTCTTTAGTGTCTTGCCCCAAGGTATACACACTGGTGATCTCCAGCTGGATAAGTAAAACAGTATGTGGTGGGGTTTTGATTTTGTTTTGTTTTGTTTTTAAAGGGAATCCTAGCAAGTTTCATATTTTTTTTCCAAGTGAGCATAGAACTAACTAACTGTAGCAAGTACGGGGATTGTTTTGGATTCCTCTAGTGAAATATTAAAGATGGGGGAGAGTGGACAAGCTAGTGACAGAAGATAATCCTTTGTGTCAGAATAAACTTGCTTTTCAGGTAAAGAGCAGCTTAAACCAGTTGTGCGTCATAGTTGGGGAGGTTTTGTGTAATTTATTCCACATTATTTATTTGGGCTCGCCATGTGTTCTGTGGTTAGGAGGCTGCAAGTCCTTCATCTTCCTGATGCATTTCTGGTCTTAAGTCAACTCTTCTGTCTTTGACCCTCTCCAGCCTCTCTACCCTGAAGCTCTCCCCACAAAAATGCATGATACCATGATCTTGTGTGTGGGATAGGGTATATAGTGTAGCAAAGCAAAGAAACAATATAGTTACCTTGAGTCCTGAGACATTTGTTTAGGGAAAAGAGTGATGAAGAGTAAGGGTAAGGGTGGGGGGAGGGGGAGGGAGAGTTCTAATTGATTTAAAACAAACTTTTTTTGCAGAAATTAAGTGGGATGTTTTTCACTCTAGAATAAAAGAATGTGAATTCTTTCTGCTGCTCTTGTTTAAGCTGAAAGTAGTGTTTACTTGAAAAGGCTCTCTGACCATTTGATTTTATCAGAAAATGTGGGGATGTCAGGAAAGTGGCTTCCTGAATGTTGGGGCAGGGTAATTGTCCTCAAAAGCATGATGACTAATACATGAAAGGAAGACCTTATTGTACAGTTTAAAAGATGGACTTTTAAGGGTTGGGGTTTGTTTTTTTTTTTTTTTTTTGGTTGTTTTGTTTTGCTTTTTTGTTTTTTGTTTTGTTTTGTTTTGTTTTTGCAGGGTGTTTTGCTTTTTAAGCTACAAAATCCTCATTGAGTTTGTTTCGGGATGGAATTGAGGATTTGTATGTGACTGTCAGCTGTTAAGGAAGTCTGTCTACAGCAGTAAATGAAGATGACAATGTATATATGTGATATAATGAAACAGACAATTCTGGTATTCATAACATGAAACAAAGGGGTTTTATCCTTTCTGTGTCTGTGATTTAAAACTCCGTGCCCATGCTCTGACTTTTGTATTTCAACCTGAGTTTAAAAATACAATAAACAAAAATTTTTTTAAAGAAAGCATAATATAGTGTGTCTTGGCAAGGACATGATTTATAAGAAACAATGTGCAAAGTTGTTACTAAGGTCCTTGGTGCTCACTGTAAAATCACAGACAGAGAATGGGGGGGGGGTCGTGAATACACTGGTACCACTTAAAACTCAGTATCAGAAATCAAGTCCTTAAATATTGTATAAGAATTTACTCTTCAGTCAGCTTAGATGAGAGTCTTCTCCCTGCTCCCTCCCGCCCTCCCAAAAGATGAGCATAAATACAATTTGGTTTGATGCCAGGGTAGGTAAAATGATCAGAGAGTAGGACTTTTATCCTTTACAATCCCAGGAATACGATATTTGTGATCTCTATGGTACAGCTAACCTATCTAGATAATGTGAATATGCTAAACTTTCTAATTGCAGAATATTCACTATCAATCCTGAAGTTACCGGTTCATGCAGAATTAAGCTTCAGCTGTTAATTATTTTGAAGCCGCTGTAAATTACTGCTTTTTCCCTTTTTTTCCTCCTCCACCCCTTTTTTTGAATGGGCGGGGGTGCCTGTTAAGATTAAAATTAGATATGTTGGATGATATTCTCAACGTGTTCAGTGTGGAAAACAAAACAAGTACATGCTTTAGAGGCAACAACAATGAAATCCTTTTGAAATGTGTATTAATATCATTTAATAAAATAACTAGTTCTGAAGGTTTGACATTTTTCTTTGAGATTTGGGGCTTTGACCAAGGGCTCCTGACTCTGTGGTGAGCGCATCTAAGAGGGAACTTCTCCAGGAGCTGAAACTGCTGCATTGTGGAGCAGGCCTATGGTTGGAAAATCTAAATTTTCTCCAGCAAAGACCCTTCTATGTGACTGTCCAGGGCTGAAGGTGAAACCAACGACAGGATCAGAAAGGAAGCTTGGATATATCTCTGAAGATCGCATTGTATTGGCTTTTGGTCTAAGTGCAAGGGGGATCGAGGGGACCGTGTGTGCACCTGCACATTTCTGAGCCACACAGACACCACAGACCACCTGTCATGTCCCTTTCTTGTGACCACTTACACTTGCCTCTCTTCCAACCATTCCTTTTTTTTTTTTAATCTTTGTCCCCAATAGTATGTTTTTGTTTTTCCAGTTTAATAAAGTATGGTTTCCTTTGTTGTGTGGTTGACTTTCCCCCTCTCACCCTGATCTTATGCAGGTGTCCCCTTTGACTACAGCATTCAGTGTCCCTGAAAGCAGTATGAGCCTCAGATCTCCATGGCCTTGTGGGTTTTCTGTTTGATCCTTTGTGTAATTCAGTTTTGAAAAGGGTTGATGGGTGGGATGAAGTCAAGATGTTTGAGGAGTGGCTGGTAATGAAGTGGGATATATTGTATGAATAATTATTTGTCTTTGTCTTCAAAATGTGCGATTTTAAGTGAAGAAGCATTTTTAAAGCAAGCATAGAGGGGCACCTGGGTGACAGTCGGTTAAGTGTCCAACTCTTGTTTTTGGCTTAGGTCATGATCTCAGGGTTGTGAGATTGAGCCCCACATTGGGGTCCACACTGGGTGTGGCACCTGCTTAAGATTCTCTGCCCTCTCCCCCCGAAAAGATTTAAAGCAAGCATCCAGTTGGCAGGGGCAATGGTGGCAGGGTTCCTTCTGGTCAATTCTTTGCCCACATCTACCCTTATTGCTGCATGTTGACAATCTATCGTACATAAGCCACACTTAACCCGCCTTTCTTGCCCCATCCCTTTTTCATACCCCAGTGAAGCTTAATAAGTGGAATGTTAGCTTTAAGGGGTAAAGAGAGTCACTGCATCCAGACCCCGCCTGGGTCACTGGCAGGGTAGAAGGCTGTAAATAGCAGCCTTCATTACATGAAGTTACATGCGTGTATCACCAGACACTTCAGAAATAGCAGCCTAGGAACACACCCAGTATGTAGGGTGTACAATTGTGCTGGCTGGTTCTGGAATCTGGCTCACCTTTTTCCTTGTCCCCTCTTGGAACTTTGACTTGCCCAACTGATTCTCCATCTCCAAGGAAGCAACAGCTTTTCGACTTCGACATTGGTGTTTCTGGGCATGTTGAAAATGCAAAGCTTCATCCCCTGGAATTGTTTTTATTTAAGCCAATCTTGTATAAGAGCGATGAGTTACCCCCTCATGTATGTAGACAGTAACACAAACACCATCCAAATGGGTTTTGGGGTATTGGGGCGTTTCTCATACTTGTTTATGAGTAACTGTATAGACAAGTCCGGTCAGCTGCTATTCACAATTGCTGAGTAATAACTCACTGAAGCTGCATAGACAAAGCTACAAGAGATTCACCCGTAAATGAGATAGCAGCTCTTAAGTAAACATCCTGTTCTCCCTTCCCCCTTGAAGTAAGGAGAAGCATACATGCTTTAAAGGAAAGGAGCAAGTGCAATGTAAAACTAAGTAATGAATTGCTTCTGACTAACTCTAGGCAGGGAAAAAAACATTCTATGCTTAGTTATAAGTTGGGGGGCATAGGGTATAAGAAGGCTGATACCAATTTAGGAATTGCTACTGCAGTTACCTTATGGCACTATCATTTTGTTGTTGCTTTCTCTCCCTTTGTTCGCACTGTAGCAAGAGTCAAAAGTTGAAAATGCAGATGTGGGTGGAGGGGTAGTGATCAGTGCCAACAGAGGAAACAGGTACAGGCTGCAGGTTTTTGTTTGATTGGAAAGGGTGCTGGCTAAACCAGTCTGCCCTGGGTCTGTTGGGTTCGTAGCAAGTTAGATGTTCCAGCAACTTTACTTCCTTCCTCATCCCCGTTCTGTCCCCTTCATTTTTGCAAATTACTCAAATTTTTTGCTGCTTAATTTGTGGGGAAGGGGAGCTAAAAGAACTTGAAACTTTGTGTGTCTTCCTTGCCATGTTTCAGTTGGAATGGGTAGAAATAAAGGAGACACGCAGCATCCAATTCCTTGTTTCGTTGTCCCCTAGCTAGGAATCCTTTACACTTAGGTGAAACAGCACTTAAGATCCTGTATCTTCTAGGTAGCCAATCATTGCCAAGGGCAGTAAAGCTTAGTAAAGGATTAATCTGAAATATCTATTATTTGGTAGTGGGCCTTAGTTGTGCACTGCCTTCTAGAGATGTATCTAGGGCTTTATTTCACAGTACTTTGCTCTTGCCTTTGTTTTTTACTTCAACATCAACCTAAGCTGACACATCCTGCACGGGTCCTGTGTTTGGCCTCACCTGACAAATCAGGGTCATTTTAAGGGGGTGGGGGGAGGATGGAGATGGCTGCCTTTGTTTCTCTTCTACAGACTCAAGAGTTGTCTTGGAGAAGGGAAGTCATAGTAGAGATTCTAGGTAAGCTGAAGGCATTGTTTTCAAAACAGTTCAACTCCTACCCATCCCCTGGTAGGAAGTCCCCCCCCCCTTTTTTTAAATCAGCAAATGTGGCTAGACTTAAAGATTTTCTTGGCATCTTAAAGCAAAGTTAAAAGCTTGGCCCCATCCTACATCTTCATCATTAAGGTATTGTGGTGGATTTGGGTTTATTTTTAAATCTAACCTCCCAAACCCACTGCACTTTTAGCCACTTGGCTAGTTCTCTGGGCTTCAAAATCATTTGGTAACCATGACATAAACCTTTCTTTATATATTTTACCCTCTTAAATTTCTTTTTTACCTCTAGCATCTTTTCTACTTCTTGGGTGCCAGGAAATTTTGTGAAGAGCTGAGATAGAATTTGAGGTGTATGTTGATCCTGATGACAAGTGGAAATGTACTTTACCATCAATGGAGAGTATTCTTACATGTAGTTTAGGAATATAAAAATAATACCTGTTCATCCAAAGCTTTAGCTAACTTGTGATGTTTATTCTAAAAGTAGAGTAAAGCTGAGGACTTCCCAAAATGTGACCAACGGTCTAGGCTATGCTTAACTGAGGATTGCCTTTTCTCTGAACTTCTCTGAAATCTGCTGGCATGATTTCCTAAACACTATTTTTCTTTAACTTTGGTTAGAGAAAATCTGGTAATACACTTCTTTCCTTGGCCTTTATTGGACCCCTCTTTTCACTCTATATTAAAGGCCTCTTTGGTCCTACAAGTGATGTACTGGGCAGAGAAAAAGGGAGATTTGCTACCAAACCTGATGCATTAGGACTATTCTGGTTGCTGGAAGGCAGTATGGCATGGTATAACACAGGCTTTGGATTCAGATGGGCTAGGGCTTGACTTCTCTGAGGATTGTTTCCATGTTTTAAAGGGAGCATAAAAATAGCTATTACCTGTCAGGATTGTTCTTGGAATTAAATAGGATAGTGAAGGCGTAGCACTTGGCACATAGTAGGTGTTTGGTGATATTCTGGGTGGAAGGTAAGAGCAGTTTTAGGGATAAATGTTTCCCAGACAAATGGGTTAAAATTCCCTGAGGCTGAGATATGGCAGTCACAAATCAGAAATTGTAAAAGAATCACTGAAAAATGAATTGGCCCTGGCTGGCTTGCTATTCCTTGCTGGCTGCCTGGCTTGTTTCCTACAAGAAGAATGCAGTAACTCCTGACATTCCTTCCTTCCTCCACTGCAACACAAGTTACACAGGTGATGATGTAGTTGTTGATTGATGGGCATCCCATGAGCCCTCAGTTCAGTGCATTGCACACAGTAAATCAGTACATGTTTGAAGGATGAGAGCAGGGAGCTGCCATAACAGTGTAGCCTGTTTATTCTACCATCCCTCTAGTATCCCAAAGGAGGACGAGGTGGAATGATTAAAGAATGTATGTGTCAGTAAATGTATCCTTTGGAGTTTGAAGTCAATACAGTGATTGATACATTCTTAAGCAATGATTATTGAGAACCTATCATTTTGTCACTTGCAATATAATATTCCCATCCTTTTTGGTGCAAAGCCATAGGGAAAGTTCTGCCTGTTGTCCCACTTTCTGAATGTCATTTTTAAATCCTGTCTACTTTTTTCCAACCCTCCAGACCGCCCCTCCCAGACACAAGTGATTTTCCTCTTCCACAGTTTTGTCTATATCTTTTTGTATTTCAGGATGTCAGGAGATGGAACCAAGATGCCAAGTGGTGCCTGTGACTCAAGTCAACTACCGCCTACCCCAGAAAGAACCTCTGACCTCTGGAAGCCTAGATTAAACAGCTTTCTCTGACAGCTCTTTCTCCACAATCCTTGATTCCACTACCATTGGAAACTTGAGAACCATCTCTAACCATCCCCACCCCCAGGTGAGGGGACAAAGGAGAGTTATTGAGAACCTTACAGCTGTCCCCAAGTCCATTTCACCTCATACTTCACTACAAATGTGACCATGTTTCAATTTTTACTGTGCAAAATAAATCAGGTATACCTGGTCCTCTGTCCTAGATAATGCAGGGAGTGGGAAGAGAAGAGATAAAGGAATTGGAGAGCTAGGATGGGAATGGGAGGCAAGGTCTTGTGTAGGAAGCAGCTAAGATTCTAGAGTCAGGCACCTCTTTCTGAAGTGATGCGGAAGTATATTTGAAATAAACTCTATTGAAAGCATGATGTGATAGGAGAGTGTAAGACATGGATTCAAAATCTAGCATCAGCACTTACTGTTTGACCTTATATCACTTAACTTCTCTGACCTTAAATTCTTCCACGTGTAAGATTAAGAGATCTCTAAGGTCCCTCATACGCACTATGACTATGAGGAGATTCAGTGAAGTGCCCTCTGCAGATTCGTTGCTCCAGTCCCAACGCTGTTAAATTGATTTATTCTAACAGCTTGTCGCTATTGTAGCCATTACCGTGTACCATGCACGATTTACATGAACTTAACTTCAACAGTTGGAAGTGTTACTAGTATTATTCCCATTTTATATATGAGGAAATTGATGCTTAGAAGAAATTAAGCAATCTACCTAAAATTACACAGTGAATGGGAGATAGATCCAGGATTTATACTGTCTGGTTCCAAAGACTGACCTACCTGTATTCTTACCTGCCAGTAAAGACTATTGTAAAAGAAAACCTGTGGTTAAAAGGAAATGACTAGCTAGTCTTTCCCATCTGTTTTTCTCCCACTCTCATTTCTCAAGAGTTTTCCTGCCGCAGTTCTCAAAGCTGCAGGATAGGTTACTGCTACTTTGGGCTAAAACTTCAGGTTTCGGGATTGCTGGCGTGTGTAACAGTTTAGGTCTTCCGCTCGCCCGGAACCACCCACACCGCTGCTTGTGCTGTGTGGGGCATACCTCTTCGGAGATCCTGGAGGTGGTCCCAGACTAGAGTGGCAGCAATAGGAACCAATAGGCCATGGGTACTTTCGGGCCGGAAGCCAATGAAGAATCCGGTGAGGGAGAAATGACGGCAATTTGTTTAAGGATGTAGGCACGGGTCTGAAGGAACATGGGGATTTTTCAGAGGTGGCGGCGGCTCCAGCTCCCAGGCTTGCAAACATGCGTGCTGCACTCGGTGCGTGAGGTACCTAAAAGTTATGAACCCCGTCGCATCCAGCACCGCTGTGGGTGTAGGCTCTGAACCCAGCCTGACACCCTTACCTCTGCCTTGAGTCGCTGGACTCGGCTACCCTAAGCTCTTAGTTGGAGCCATCTTTTTTCTAGAGTCGACAGACTGGCGATCATAGGACTCCCACCCCTGTATGTCATAGTCCTCTTACAGACTAGGGATTAGGAACCAAAATCACTTCAATATTCTCATCTCCCACCAGCCCCAGTCCCAGAAAGGAATGATGGGACCCATGTTATCTCCTAACCTCTTTCCTTCCAGGCAGCTGTGCCGACCCCTCCACACTGGTTGGCAGAGCGGCTTGGCCTTTTTGAGGAGCTATGGACTGCTCAGGTAAAGAGGTTAGCAAGCATGGCACAGAAGGAGCACCGGACTATTAAGATATCACTCCCTGGAGGCCAAAAAGTGGATGCTGTGGCATGGAAAACAACGCCTTACCAACTAGCCCAGCAGATCAGGTACCAGACTCATTTTATACCTGCCAGGATTATCCTTCTTCCTCTGTACTAAGAAGGACTTGAGCAGGAAATGAAAATTCTGCTTGCTTCTATTCCATCCCTATCAAGATTGCCTTTTCCTGAGGATTCCTTTTTATCTGCATTAGTTTCATAGTGTCTACCCTTCGTTTATTATCCATCGGGAAAAGAAATGATAGGTTTTATTGCTCTGGGGACACCTTTCCCCATTTTCATGTTTGGAGTTGTTGAGAGATAAGTCCCTCTCTTCCCCTGTGGATTGTAACCATGTCTTTTTCTTTATCATCACCCCTCCCCTGGCCAAGTTCAACACTGGCAGATACTGCAGTTGCTGCTCAAGTGAATGGAGAACTTTATGACCTGGAGCGGCCCTTGGAGACAGATTCTGACCTCAGGTTTCTAACATTCAGTTCTGCAGAGGGCAAGGCAGTAAGTCTCTTCCTTTTTGGGAACACCGTGGCAATTCAGCTAAGAGATATACATATATAATATATATATATAGATAGATAGACACATATATATTATATCTGTATATATAATATATAATATGTATGATACAATATATGTATATTATATATACAGATATATATATGTCTCTATATATATCTTTATATACTTTTTTTTCTTAAAATTTTTGTTTATTTGAGGGACAGAATGAATGAAAGAGAAGGAGCAAGGGGAGGGGCAGAGGGAGAAGCAGACTCCCTGCTGAGCTCCCAGGGAGCTAGACGTGGGGCTCGATCCCAGGGCCCCAGGATCATGACCTGAGCCAAAGGTCAACCAACTGAGGCACCCAGGCACCACTCTATGTGTTTGTGTATTTTTTTTTTAAGATTTATTTATTTTAGAGAGGGGGAAAGTGTGGGGGGAAGAGATGGGGAGAGGGAGAGAAACCCAGCATTTTCTGTGCAGAGCACAGAGCCCAACACAGGGCTCCATCTCAGGACCCTGAGATTACAACCTGAACCAGGAATCAGATGCTTAACCAACTGTAACACCCAGGTGTCCCTAAACTAAGGTATATTTAAGTGGGCATATTTCTAGTATTTTGCTTCGGTTTCTCCATTTGCAGTTGGACGGAGACATAACACACACTGCTTGTCTTGACTGGACCTGGCTAAGCTAGAAACTTAGGAAACCAAGTCTATTAAGTAGACATAATTTGTGGTAGTAAAAAGGAGAGATCATAAGCTGAAAATAGAAAGGTAATATGCCAGTTTAGTCCTTTCAACTCTATAGACATACATTACAAGTCATCTGTAGCATGTATTTTTTAATTCTTTTTTTTTTTAAGTTGATTTATTTATTTACTTATTTGAGAGAGAGAGAGATTGAGAGAGAGCATGAGCCGGGGAGAGAGGGAGAAGCACGCTCCCTGCCAAGCCAGGAACCGGAGCTGGGGCTCAATCCCAAGACCCCGGGATTATGACCTGAGCCGAAGGCAGATGCTTAACTGGCTGAGCCACCCAGGTGCCCCTACAGTTTTTAATTCTAACTTGACTTGCACAACTGAGCACACAACTGGCCTCCTTCCCACTTTGTCGACTTCATGTCAGCTTAGGTAAAATGGAGCTCATCTGTTAGGATCCAGAAAAATGGAATTTTGTCACCTATGTATAAAAGGTGACCAAATCCTAGAGGAGGGGTTGCATCACATTAGATTCCTGGAATGGTAAAAAATAGAACTAAAAGACCAAACAGAGCTCTTAGGAACTACCATCTTAATCTGAAGCCCTAAAAGGGGATGTTGTAAGAGCAACAAAAGAAGCCTGGGCTCCTGCTTCTATGCTCTAGGACTGGGAAGCACCGAGGAGTGGGGCTGGGGGCTACTTTCATCCTTGCATTGCTTATACTAGCCTTTTGTTTTCTATTCAGTTTTTTTTTTTTCTTTTACTATTTAGTGTTCACCTCCAAGGTCAGGTTCCCCATTTTGTGGTAGTTTTTTCTGGAAGAGCCTTACTGGTTTCACACCAGCTTCTCTGAGGAGAGGATCAGAGAGTGAGGGGTTAAAGGAGATGATTATGAACTCCTTTCTTGTGAACCCAGGTGTTCTGGCACTCCAGCACCCATGTCCTGGGGGCAGCAGCTGAACAACTCCTTGGTGCTGTCCTCTGCCGAGGTCCAAGTACAGAATATGGCTTCTACCATGATTTCTTCCTGGGAAAGGAGCGGTGAGTAGTGCAAGGAAAGAGAACGATTCTGGGGTGGTTTCTTTTTTAGATATTTTACCGTATTTTATTTCATTTTTTGACTTTTTGGAGTGTAATTGACAAAGTAACTTTTTTTTTTTTTAAGATATTTTTATTTATTTGTCAGACAGATCACAAGTAGTCAGAGAGGCAGGCAGAGAGAGAGAGAGAAGGAAGCAGGCTCCCTGCCAAGCAGAGAGCCTGACGTGGGGCTCGATCCCAGGACCCTGAGATCATGACCTGAGCTAAAGGCAGAGGCTTTAACCCACTGAGCTACCCAGGTGCCCCCAAAGTAACGTATTTAAAGTGTATAGTGCTTGCTTCGGCAGCAAACACACTAAAGTGTACAGTGTAAGGGGTCCTGGCTGGCTCAGTCAGAAGAGTATGCTACTCTTCATCTCAGGGTTGTGAGTTCGAGCCCCATGTTGGGTGTAGAAATGACATAATAAATAAACTTTTAAAAATAAAAAAGTGTACAACCTGGTAATTTGATGTTTATATACATTGTGAAAGGATTCCCGCAATTGAGTTCATTAACATATTCATTACCTCAGTTCCTTGCTCTGTGTATGTGTGTGTGTGTGTGTGTGTGTATGAATGCTTAAGATTTGCTCTTACAAATTTCAATATATATACAATGTGGAATTACCGAATTATCAACTATATTCACCATGGTATATGTTAGCTCCTCAAATGTAATTCATTTTATAACTGAGTGTGTACCCTTTCACTGGGGTGGTTTCTGTCCCTTTTCTGGGGTATCAGGCATGTTCAGTTTGGAGGAGAAAGTTTGGGGAGGAGCCTCTCCAGGCCTCAACTGTGACATTGGTGCCATTTTCTCCACTAGTCCGTGCCTTTCCTTTTCTGTCTAATTCTGCTTAAAACTTCTCTAGTCTTTATGAATTAACTTCTACTTCCTCCTTCATTACTGTTGCTCTAATTTTGTCCATCCATATTGCCTGCATCCAGCTTTTAATTTCATACATAGAGCTTTTCCTCCTGCAGGAAAATGTATACCTGTCTGCCTTTGCCAATAATTCTAGATTCTCTGGAGAGCAGGATTTTACCCCCTAGCCAACAGCTCTGGCACCCAGGTGATGCTTCTCAGCAGATGCAAGCCACCCAATTCTCATCTTTCCAGGACAGTCCGGGGCTCAGAGCTGCCTGCTTTGGAGCGGATTTGCCAGGAACTCACAGCTGCTGCTCAACCTTTCCGGAGGCTAGAGGTGTCTCAGGATCAGCTTCGCCAGCTGTTCAAGGTGGGGTGGAGGTGCACACATTTAGGAGAAAGACCCAGAAACATGAGGGAAAGGGTAGCTATCTCCCAGGACATCTGTGTAGGAATAAAGACTTACCCTCATTCTCCTTCCAGGATAACCCCTTTAAGCTTCGCCTGATTGAGGAGAAAGTGACAGGTCCAATGGCAACAGTATACGGGTGAGAGTTGTCAAAATGGACGGAAAGGGAGAGGTGGAATGCATCAAAGAAGGCCAGAATTGGGATGAGGGAAAGAAGGTAGAAGGTAATCTGTTCCTCTAGAAAAGGAATAGGAACAGAAAATAATTTTATCTCCCATTGCTCTTGCTCTTTGTAGTACAGTTCTTCACTTTTTTTTTTTTATCTGTCTGCTGAAGTCCATGAGAGGGAAAACACTAGAAGCTCAAGAATTTGGAAACCACTAAGTGGCCTTTTCTTTCTCCCAGGTGTGGCATGCTGGTTGATCTTTGCCGGGGCCCCCACCTTCGGCATACTGGACAGATTGGAGGACTGAAGCTGCTAACGGTCAGTTTTGAGGGCAAGGTTAGGTTGAGACCCCTGGGTTCACTGGGATGAGCAGGGGAATGGGAAGATGATCTCTCCCAGCCCCTTCTCTCCTCTAATAGCTGAGCGGAGAATCCAGAAGGAGAAAGATTTTTAGTTCCTACTTCTGCAAACCCCTTACCTTTTGCAATCACCCTGCCCGGGTCCCAAAGCCAATTCACATTCTGTTGTTGGACTTCAGTGGTAGGGAGATGGAGAGGGAGTGTGTGAACAGGTTGGACAGGGTCACATGAGGGAGGCTTCTGTGGAGAGAGGGTGTATAGTACATCATATGACGGGTACAGGTAGAATACTATCAGTGAAAGCCATGCCTTTTATGATAATACTGTTCCTGGGCCAGGTGCTTTATTTATTAGTTGGAATCAGGAGCAGGAAGCAAGGGGAGAGGCAGGTATATAGAGGCAAAAGCGCTGGACTGAAAACCTAGCCATTTGTGCTTAGTCCTAGCTCTGCCACCAGTGAAGTATGTGGCCTTGGGTAACTCTCCTTACCCGTCTTCCCCACCTATAAAATAAGGTTGTTGTAAATTTCTATCCTGTCAGTAAATCCACATCACAGAAACAAAGTCAGCTAACATGGGAGAAAGTATTTGAGGAAAAGCTAAAAGTGCTTATAAAACATAGGCTGTTTCTTGTTAAATGGCTCAAGAAAAGAGCAAGCAGAGGCATTTGAATTTCATGTGGCCAGGAGTAGAACATAGTGTGGGAGGCTGATAAGTGGACGGATAGACTGACATCTGACCAGAGCTTAAGGTTACTCTGGTGAGCAGTCACTAGGGTAGGAGAGGGGGTCCTAAGTACAAGGGTGCCTGTGGGAGAATGGGAAGAAAAAAGTGGCAGGCTAAAGTTAGGCCTGAGCAGGACACAAGCAGGGATTTGGAGTCTGGGTGTCTCTGAGGCTATAAACATGGCAGGAGGTCTGGGAGGATAGTGGTATGCTGGTGAGGGCGGGGGGGAACAATGAACACTGAGATGGGACACTTGTGGTGCTTAAGCTCAGTATCAGATAGGCATCATCCAAGGAGACCTTGGGTACCTGCAGTCAAACCATCTTCTCTCTGACTCCTTTGTCCTCCCATAGAACTCCTCATCCCTGTGGAGGTCTTCGGGTGCCCCAGAGACACTGCAGCGGGTGTCAGGGATCTCCTTCCCCACAGCGAAGGAGCTGAGGGCCTGGGAAGAATGGAAGGAAGAAGCAGAGTTACGGGACCACCGGCGCATTGGGAAGGTACAGAGATTGGGAGGAGATGAGTGGGTGTGAAGGAACCTGATGGTGAAGTTGGGAGCAGATTACGAATCCAAGAGATTGAGCAGCTCCCTCGTCCCCACTTTGTCCCGTGAGTGACACTGCCATTCCTGCACAGGCACAGGAGCTCTTCTTCTTCCATGAACTGAGCCCTGGGAGCTGCTTCTTCCTGCCTCGAGGGACAAGGGTCTATAACGCACTCGTGGCTTTTATCAAGGTAAGGGGGACCCAAATTGAGAGGAAGGAAGACCAGGGAGGAAATCAAGGCCCAGAAGATGCCAAGTGTTAAAAGAGGAGGATTAAACGTGAACATTGTAAAGTGCTGGTGTCCTTTAACAAGGTCCTAGGACTGTGTGGTCCACAGGGTGGGAGTGTAGAGAGAGAACATGGTACTTAACAGATTGTGGCTGAGTTCAGCATGGCTTGAGATCTCAGGAGACTCACATACCTGCCAGCCTGGCACCTCTCCCCCAGTCACTCTGACCTTCCACATCTATACCCTCATTTCCAGGCCGAGTACACCCGCCGTGGCTTCTCAGAAGTGAAGACTCCCATGCTGTTTTCTACAAAACTCTGGGAGCTTTCAGGACACTGGGAACATTACCAGGAAGACATGTTTGCCCTGCAGCCCCCAGGCTCTGACAGGCTCTCAAGTTCCCTGAGTGACCACTCTGCCAGCCGTCCCACAGACACACTTGCCCTCAAGCCCATGAACTGCCCTGCACACTGGTGAGCGAGGAGCCAGGAGGCCTGGGTCCTCCCAGGGCTGGGGGTGGCAGCCAGGTTGCCCAATATGAGGTAACAGAAAGCGCCTTTGCAGAGCACTGGGACACCTGGTTTGAGTCTTGAATCTGTCCTCCGGCTAACGGGAGGTGAATTTGGGGAAACCATACCTCTCTAAGCCTTAGTCTCCTTGTGTAACATCAAGGGTTTGGGGTTGCTGTCCAGAGTTCCTGTTTGCCTCAGTCCCTGTTACAGAGTAGGGGTGTAGTAAATGAGTCCACTGCTGCTATTCCTAAGGAATGTACTTTCAGCCACACAGGGCATGCTAAGGCTGGAGAGGGTGCTAGCTGATGGCACAGAGAAAATAAGCATATTGGGTAGAGGAGCAGTCTGCAGGGGGTCCTTTTCCCTATGGCCCTGACCCTTCCACACCCCATCCTCAGCCTGATGTTCGCTCATCGGCCCAGATCCTGGCGAGAGCTGCCCCTGCGACTGGCCGACTTCGGGGCCCTACACCGGGCCGAGGCCTCCGGCAGTCTGGGGGGACTGACCCGGCTGCGGTGCTTCCAGCAGGACGATGCTCACATCTTCTGTGCACCAGATCAGGTGGCCCTTGCCTAACTCGCCCGAGCATTTCCGAACCACTTTTCATTCTCCACACGAACTGCCAACATTCCCAACTCCCAGTCTCTCTTTTCATATGCTACAACTCAGTTACATGATAGCCCTAACTGTCCTACATGTTTGCCTTGTGTTTCCCCCCCCAAACTCCCATCACTCCAGAGCTCTAGGTAGCATATAGCTTACCCACTCGATTTTCTGCCCCCAGCTCGAAGCAGAGATCCAAGGCTGTCTTGATTTCCTCCGTTCTGTCTATGCTGTCCTTGGCTTCTCTTTCCACCTGGCACTATCCACCCGGCCATCTGGCTTCCTGGGAGAGCCTTGCCTTTGGGACCAGGCTGAGCAGGTAAGTAGGTGAAGAGGCAGATAAACCACTCTCTGGTGGGGGAGGGGAGATGGGAATCAGGGTCCTCCTTAGAGGCATATGCTAAGCGGGTCATTTGTTGGGGACTGGAGAGATCCTTTGCTCATAAAGTCTAAGATGACACATTCCTCTCTTGTCTCATTCACTCATAAAGGTCCTTCAGAGGGCCTTGGAAGAATTTGGGGAACCCTGGGACCTCAACCCTGGAGATGGGGCATTCTATGGGCCTAAGGTAGGTTGGGAACCCTGCTAAGAGTTTTATTCATTCATTTATTTTTTTGCTTTATTAGGTATTTAATAGACAGGAATATTTTTAAACTTTTGTGTAGGATGTAAAGAAGAACAGTACGTCTCCTGCCCCCCTGAAGCTTGTGGTCTTGTGAAAGGTATGGGAGGTAAATAGGCATTTGGGAGCCACTGAATCTGCCCTGTGTAGGTACCAAGGGAGCAGGTCACTCAGGAAGGTCAGGAAGGGCCTCTGCAGGATTCTCTTTCTAACCTGAAAGTTCACTGTTCGCCAAGTACAGAGGAATTCTAGGCGAGAACAGTGCAGGCAGAGGCTGAGGTCAGGGTTCACACTTGAAGACCAAGTTGGAAGAAGTAGAAGTTAGGGGGGAAAAAGGACCAGAAAGTGTCTGCTGGATTTTGTGAAAAGGCTGTTAGATATTGAAGGACCAGGGTGCCTGTGTGGCTCAGTCGGTTAAGAGTCTGCCCTCAGCTCAGGTCATGATCTCAGAGTCCTGGGATTGAGCCCCACTTCAGGCTCCCTGCCGAGCAGGGAGCCTGCTTCTCCCTCTCCCTTTGCACATCACCCTGCTTGTGCTCTCTTGCTCTCTCTGTCAAATAAATAAAATCTTTAAAAAAGAAAAAAGGTATTGAAGGACCATTTTTGGTAAAGTGGAGGCTGGAGTTGGAGTCTGAGCTGAATGAATGAACATAACTCTTTTGAGAATTTTGGCTCCTGAAAAAGTAAAGGAGAGGGCACCTGGGTGGCAGTTGGTTAAGCGACTGCCTTCAGCTCAGGTCATGATCCGGGGTCCTGGGATCAAGTCCTGCATCGGGCTCCCAGCTCCATGGGGAGTCTGCTTCTCCCTCTGACCTACTCCCCTCTCATGCTCTCTCTCAACTCTTTCTCTCTCAAATGGATAAGTAAAATCTATTTAAAAAAAAAAGTAAAGGAGAGTAGCCAAAGGGGCATGGGTAATCAAAAGAGATTTTGATAAAAGGAGAAATTTGAGAATGTTTAAATGCTCTGATGAAGGAGAGCCTGTTAGGGTCAGGGAGAAATTGAAGTTGTAGAAGGGTTTCAGTAGAGGGAATTTCTTGGGTAGGATTGAGAGACCACCTTTGGCATCATTTTGGAGGCAGGAAGAAAAGTTGGGGGTACATCCAAGGAAGTCTATAGATGTGGGGACAGGAAGTTGAGACATTTTTCCATCTCACGTTATCATTATCTGATTTTCCTGTGAGATGGGGGACAGGATCATTTGCTGAGATGGGAGTTGGGCAGAGGAGAGCTTTCAGTGAGGGCAGTGAAGATAGGAAGAGGAGAAAGAGAATCCTTGAGAACAGGACACAAAACTGACTAGGGCAGCAAAGGATTGCTGACAGTAGCAAGGCCCCAATTAAAGTTCAGAACAGGGACTAGCATGGTGGCATCCATTCCCATTTATGCATCTGTGTGGTATGGGGCATGCTAGGCAGCTCAGGGGGTTTCTGTTGTAGGGCCAAGATGGTGGGAGGCCAGAGTGCCACCAGGCTGGGGTTTGCCGTGGGCATGGGACAGGAGAACAGTGGTAGAAGGGAACCAGGAAGAGTGGTTCCAGCTGCATGGGGAAAGAAGGAAAGGTGGGTAGGAGCTGTGAATGGGAAGGAACCTAGGAACTTACAAGCAATTGGTAGGAATAATTGTCGGAGCCAGAAGACCAAGGACAGTCATCAGAGGAGCGGGGTGTGTGATGTGGTGTTCTGGAGGTGCACAATTCAGGGCAGTGACAGGATGAAGGCTGTATCTATGCATGAGTGCTCATAAAGATCTTGCAGATGATGAACTCAGGGAATTCAGAGCCCAGGGTGTGGGTGGGTCATTTGTGTCAATGTTGATGTCCCTTAAAGTCATACCATTACTGAGCAGAAGGAGCCACTGCTGGAGTGCCCAGTGAGTGAAGTAGAGTATGTTGTAGCAATGACACATCTCAAAACAGCCTGCTATGTGGGTCGGTAGAAGGTAGGGGGCACAGTCAGTAGAGGCTCCTGCTTCTGGTTGCCCTTACATCCTCCCATCTGTCTCCTCCAGATTGATGTGCGCCTCCATGATGCCCTGGGTCGGCCCCATCAGTGCGGGACAATCCAGCTTGACTTCCAGCTGCCCCTGAGATTTGACCTCCAGTACAAGGGGTACAGAGCCTTGCCTGGTCCCCTTTTCCCTTGGCTACCAGCAGAATACATGGAGAGCAACTTCCCCTTCTATCTTTGTCCCTGAAAATGAAACCCGAATCCTCTACACCTTTGCTGGAGCTAAATATTTCTTGAAAACTGGATGGTGCTCTTGGGTTCACATCTTATGACTCTTCCTCTGTTCTATCTATCCTCCTCTTTCCCTCCAAGGCAGGCGGGAGTCCTGGAGCGTCCAGTCCTCATTCACCGAGCAGTGCTAGGTTCTGTGGAAAGGATGTTGGGAGTGCTGGCAGAAAGCTGTGGAGGAAAATGGTGAGACCTCTGGCCCCTGATTTCTGTTCTGGTCCTCAGAGCAGATGGTGCATGCTCCAGGTCCTGGTCTCCTCAGATCGCCTCTTCTGTTTTCCTCTCAGATCAACTCTCTGCAGCCACAGTTGCAGTCAGAGCCAGAGTAAATAGTTTGCCTTCCTCTCCTCTCTCCACCAGGCCATTGTGGCTGTCCCCATTCCAGGTGCTGGTCATCCCTGTGGGAACCGAGCAAGAGGAATATGCCAGGGAGGTGAGGAGAAGCTGGGCAGGGTGCACAGGGGCTGAAGCAGGACTACCTGGAGTCCAGAGCTGATCAGTGGGTAGGAAGGTGTCACATAGCAGAGTGGAAGGGAAATAGCGTTTGGAGCCACTAGACTGGGCTCAAATGGCTGCCCGCCTTTATGCTGGAAATTCCACATCTGAGAAATGAGAATTAATTCCTTGCCTCTGGGGATGCCTGAAAATTTAACAAATTAACAAATGTTAAACGCTGACAGTAGAGCACTTGGCACAAAAGGAACCTGGAGAAGTGTTGGTTTCATATTTCCTTTCTAGAGAGAAGTAAGGATGTGGATAGTACCAAAGTCAAGTAGCTAGTTGGGTAGTGCTGTGGCTAGAGCAGGCAGAGTTGGGGAATTGGTGGCAGGCTTGGCTCCAGTAGGAAGGAGACAGAAACTATGGGGGAGCTGGGGACTGGCCTCAGTGCAAAGATGAACAAAGAGGGGTTGTCCGCAAGAATCAGAGACCCTTGAGGCAGAGGATGGAGGAACAGATCTGGGGCATGGGGAAGATTGGTATCAGACTATTCTAGCTTCTTAGCCTTCAGTCCCTGGCATCAAACCTCTGTCCCTCTGCCCCAGGTACAGCAGAGGCTGCAGGCTGCAGGTCTGGTCTGTGATCTGGACGCTGACTCAGGACTGACCCTCAGCCGGAGAGTCCGCCGGGCTCAGCTCTCCCACTACAATTTTCAGTTCGGTGAGTGACCAGCAGCACAGACCCTCAGAGCCCTGCACTCTCTGCTGGCCTCCCATGCTATTCTTTCCTATTAAATTTGCTTATCTGCTTATTTGGGTTAATTGGGGTTCATTACCTGAGCTGGATTCAGGACACCTGAGCCATTTGGGCCCTGGGTTCCTTCACCCCCTGACAACCAGTTCTCACCCTCAGAATAATTTCCTTTTTCTTCTTTTTCTCTTTTTAAAAATATTTTATTTATTTATTTGACAGCGAGATAGAGAGCACAAGTGGGTAGAGCAGCAGGCAGAGGGAGAGGAGAAACAGGCTCTCCACTGAGCAGGGAGCCTGCCGCAGGGCTCGATCCCAGGACCCTGGAATCTGACCTGAGCTGAAGGCAGACCAACACCTACTACAAAATAATATTCTCAGCAGAACAAAAAAAGTACAAAATCATAGACACTTGTGAAAACATTTGGTGAGATTTAGATTATTACAACGTATGGTGGAAAGTGAGTACCTTCAAGACTCGGGCTGGTTTTGTGTGTAGCCAGCCAGTGTTTGAATTTTACCTGATGGGCCCATCTCCACTAAAGTTCCCCTTGAGACTGATTGGGACAGTTTGAACCACATTGGCTCTGGGGATGTTGCCCAAGGCTCACTGTATTTTGATGCAAATACACTATTTCTTTTTGGACTCAATTTTATCCTTATAATTTTTGTATGTTTTACCATTTATTTCTAATTATATGCATAGTAACTCTAACATTAATTTCTTTATTTTCTAAATTAAATGAAAAAATTTTTAATTGACGTATAGTTGACAAAATATTACATTAATAGTTGACACAATGTTACATTAATTTCAGGTGTACAGCATAGTGATTGGACACTTCTGTACATTACTCAGTGCTTGTCACAATAAATGTAGCTACCATCTGTCACCATACAATGTTATTACAATAATGACATAGTGATAATGACACATGGGGCACCTGGCTGGCTTATTTGGTAGAACATGTGACTCTTGATCTCAGGGTTGTGAGTTCAAGCCCCAAGTTGGGTGTAAAGCTTACTTTAAAAAAAAAAAAGTGAAATCATATGGTTTTTGTCTTTCTCTGACTAACTTCACTTAGCATAGTATCCTTTGGGTCCATCTATTTTGTCACACAATCTCACCCCTCCTTTTTTTTTTTTTTTGGCTGAGTAATATTCTGTTGTGTGTATGTGTGTGTGTGTTTACCCCCCCACATCTTTATCTATGTATCTGTTAATGGACACTTTGGTTGCTTCCATATATTGGCTATTGCTGATAATGCTACAGTAAACGTAGGAGTACATACATTTTTTTGAATTAGTGTTTTCTTTTAGCCAGGAGTCGGGGAGGTGGTAAATACCATGCCGTATTGGTACTAGTAAGACCTAGTACCAATACCAGATATCTTATGGTATTTCTTTCTCTATTTTTATTTATTTATTTATTTTAAAGATTTTATTTATTTGACAGAGAGATCGATCACAAATAGGCAGAGAGGCAGGCAGAGAGAGAGAGAAGGAAGCAGGCTCCCTGCTGACCAGAGAGCCCAATGCGGGACTCGATCCCAGGATCCTGAGATCATGACCCGAGCCAAAGGCAGAGGCCTAACCCACTGAGCCACCCAGGCACCCGGTATTTCTTTTTTTTAATTTTTTGAGGAACCTCCATACTGTTTTCTACAGTGGCTGCACCAGCTTGCATTCCCACCAACAGTGAACAAAGGTCCCTTTTTCTCCCTGTCCCTGCCAAAACTTGTTATTTCTTGTCTCCTTGATACTAGCCATTCTGGCTGGTGTGAGATGATATCTCATTGTGGTTTTGTTTTGCATTTCCCTGACGATTAGTGTTGTTAAGCATCTTTTTATGTGCCTGGTGGCCATCTCTATGTCATCTTTGGGAAAATGTCTATTTAGGCCTTTTACCTAGTTTCAAGTATGACTGTTTGGTGTTTTTTTGGTGTTTTTTTGTTTTTTTAAGATTTTGTTTATTTGACAGAGATCACACGTAGGCAGAGAAGCACACAGAGAGAGAGAGGAGGAAGCAGACTCCCCAGTGAGCGGAAAGCCCGATGTGGGGCTCGATCCCAGGACCCCGAGATCATGACCTGAGCCGAAGGCAGAGGCTTAACCCATTGAGCCACCCAGGCACCCCAGTTTTTTGGTTTTTTGGTTTTTTGTTTTGTTTTGTTTTTTGGTGTTGAATTGTATGAGTTCTTTATATGTTCTGTATATTAACCCCTTACCAGATATAGTGTTTGTGAATATCTTCTTCCATTCAGTAGGATGCCTTTTCAGTGTGTTGACAGTTCCTTTGCTGTGCAAGAGCTTTTTAGTTTGATGTGGTCCCAATAATTTATTTTTGCTTTTGTTTCCCCTGCCTGGGAAGACATCCAGAATAACGTTGCTAAAGCCAATGTCCAAGATATTATCACCTATGTTTTCTTCTAGGAATTTTATGGTTTCAGGAAAACAGTTTTCTTCTGACCCTCCTCCAAGCTGTTGGTGTCTGTTAGGTTAATCAACCAAAGGAGCATTAGAGAGAAAGGGACAGGAAGGACTAATAAGGTGTTAATTAGTTAGCTTTGTTTATTCTAGACCCAGATGGAGTCAGCCCTAAGGGATGATGAGAAAGAACTTAAGGAGAAGAGTCAGGCCACCTTGTTCCTTTTTTCATTTCTCCACTTGGAGCTCTGTCTTGAAGACAAGGAGCAGAAACTCCTCTTACCAGATCATTCAGCTTTCTTGTTTTATACACCTACTCGCCCAGTGGCACTTAGAGCAAGTTGCCCCATGACCCCCTGAGCTTGCCTATGAGTCTTGTACGCCTGTCACCCTCCCCTGTCTTTAATGCCCCACCCCCCCCAACACACACACACAGTTTCTCTCTGGGTCTGTTTCTTGTGCTCTGTTTGTCTCTCTCTGGCTGACCCCACTATCTCCGACCCCTAGGCTCCTGACTGGAAGTGATAAGGCATGGAGGGCATGTCTGGAACATTTCCTTATCTCATCAGGATGATCAGGGGAACTGGAGAGCAAGAGGCAGCTAACTATACCCTTTTCCTGAACTATATCTGGGCTGTGCTCTCACCCTTTCTAAAGATTGGGGTGTCTTGAATTTTTGCCTATCCCGTGTGGGTAAATGTGCCCTGACAGTCACAAACCTCCCCTCTTCCTGCAGTGGTTGGCCAGAAAGAGCAGAGTGAGAGAGCAGTGAACATTCGGACTCGGGATAACCGCCGACTCGGGGAGCGGGACTTGACTGAGGCTGTGCAGCGGCTGCTGGAGCTCCAGAACACCAGGGTCGCAGATGCTGAGGCAGTGTTCTGAGCTTTTGTGTACAGATGTGGCAGGAGCTGCCGGCTTCCCTTCACGTGGGAGACCTTGACCTAACTGCCAGAGTCTGGAGGCCCCCAGACCGATCAGAATTCATGTGGAAGCACAAGTTTGCTCTCCTGGAAAGATATTTGATCTGGGGGAAGCTGCAGCTGTTTGGATGTGAGGAGCATGAAAGTATAAAGAATAAACTTGAAGTTCTTGGGTATGTGTCTTCATCTCTGACTCCTGACCGGGGAATAAAAGGGAATTGGACTCTGTCTCCGTCTCATTTGTCCCAGGGCACTGGGGAAACAGAAAAGGGGCAGCCCTGGCCTCTCACTGGTAGAGGAGCTCCTGGGGTAGCTGTCCTGTCCCCCACCTGGACTCTTTAGTTCCCTATTTTCCCAACCCCAATTCAGCAGACTGTACTGCTCCACAGTAGGCAGCATGAAGACAGGGAACCAAGGCATAAAATAAGGTCTCAACATCTCTCTCTTTTTTTAAAGATTCTATTTATTTATTTGAGAGAGAGAGAGTACGAGTGGGCAGGAGGGTCAGAGGGAGAAGCAGGCTCCCCACTGAGCAAGGAGCCCAACGTGGGGCTCTATCCCAGGACCCAGGAGATCATGACCTGAGCCAAAGGCAGGTGCTTAACTGACTGAGCCACCAGGTGCCCCAGGTCTCAACATCTCTTACTCCATGAATCTCAGAATCCATTTCTCTGGGAATCATAAGAACGCTTTCCTCTTCTCAGCCTTGTTCTCCTCAGTCCTCTTAGGAGACCTCAGGGTGAATTTGGGAGGAGTGGCCACCAGAGGAGGAGCAGCTGGGACTGAGTCATGGCAGGAAATAGGAGGGAGGGAGTTATCCCCAGATAGCCATATAAAAGGAGAAGGAACCAGCCCTGAGGTTCACAACAGCCGTAACAGCAACCGGAGAAGCAGGCTCCCAGCAGCCCAGCCCTTCAAACCCAGATCTGCCTAGGACGACCCACCTGCTGGGTGCCACCGACAAGTCTTTGCCCCAGGATGGGGACCATGTCCAGAGCAGCCTTGGTCTTGGCCTGTCTGGCTGTTACTTCTGTAGCCTCTGAGGGAGGTGAGTTGGGGTTGGAGCCAGCGCTTGGGAAGAGGCCCTGACCAGTGTGGGCCCCGGGGCTGGGGGCCAGCCATCCTCTACATGGCTCATTGCCAGTAGGGTGATTGCATACTTGGCCTTGCATTTCTGAGCAGATCCAAGGGGGGCTGGGCACTGGAGCTTTTAAACTGGGAGGGGGAGCAGGTGCACAGGAGAGGGGTTCCTAGAGATTGCTGCCAGGAGACAGGAAATTGAGAGTCAAATGGACAACTCTTCAGAGGATGGGTGGATTCCCAGAATGAGGGGTTCTTGCCTCAGGAAAATATATATATGGGGCCTATCAAGCAGGGGAGAGAGAAAGAATGGGGCCTCCAGGCTGGTCAAAACTGAATTACTGGGCACCTGGGTGGCTCAGTGGGTTAAGCCGCTGCCTTCGGCTCGGGTCATGATCTCGGGGTCCTGGGATCGAGTCCCGCATCAGGTTCTCTGCTCAGCAGGGAGCCTGCTTCCCTCTCTTTCTCTCTGCCTGCTTGTGATCTCTGCCTGTCAAATAAATTAAATAAAATCTTTAAAAAAAAAAAATGAATTGCTGACCCAAAGAGCCTTGACCAACTCCTCTCCGGTTAGGAGGAGTTGAGAGGGTGTCCATCCACAGGGGACCAGGCCCAGTGACTCTATCTAGCACATATACATCTGCTGGATGCTGGACAAAACGCTACCAAGGAAAACAACTGTTGAGATCTGGTCTCCCTAAGGCATATGTCATTGTCCCGCCTAGGTGCTTGTCTTCTGTGATTGCAGATCAGCTCCAGGTGAAAGCTTTCCCTGTGGCTGTGGGGCGATTTGCCTCAGGAATCCTAAATCATCCCAGTCCCTGGGTCCTAAATTGAGACCTAAGCTGAGGAGGATCTGGGACCAGCTAAAGGGAAGGCACTTAAAGTTTGAGGTGGGCTTCTCAGAAGGCCCGCAGATATTTAAACGGCCTAGAGTTGGTGAGCAGTTGAAGCCCCAACCAGTTCAATGTCCAGACTTGCTCCTCTGGAAACTAGAGAGGCATCCTGGCTGAGAGACTGAAAGGAAGAGCCCAGAAGCCCTGAGGGAGATACACTGACAGGAGATTAGGGCCTCCACCATCTCACTCCCCAGTGCTCCCAGTCCCATCTGTCACATTACCTTCAGGCCTGGACTCAAGACCCAAGGCTTTGAGCCTGGTGGAGGTAAGGCTGACAGAATAGCATGGCTTTCTCAGAACCCAACTGGCATACCTAGGTGGGTTTAGACTGGGGGTGGGTATTCATTAGGGAACGGGACAGGAGCAATACAGAGGGGTTTCTGGCATCTTGCTCATCTTGCCTATGCCCTTGACATCTACTGCCCCCACATCCTATGCTTGGGAACAAGAATGGGCTCCTCAAGCCACCTCTGACTCACCTTTCATCTGCCAGGCTCCAAGTCTCCAGGGCAGAGGGAGCTGGGCCCAGAGCCCCTCACCTACCACGTTCAAGAAGGTAAGAGTTTGGGGGAGCAGCAAGAAATGGGGGCTAGGAGAAAGTGTCAGCTCTGACCATCTCCCCTCTTAACCTCTAGTTGGCTATGCAGCACCCCCCTCCCCACCCCGGACCCAAGCCCTCCCCATGGACCACCCTGACACCCATCAGCATGGCTCTGACTTTGAGGGACAGGGTGAAGGTAAGTCCACCATGCACCCTTCTGTTGCCCCTCCAGGTTTCTAGTCTGGCTTCACTTCCCATTCCTCACATGGGATGGAGTGGGAAGGCCCTGGCCATTTTTTGCCCTGGCTGGGAGCACGGGTGGTCTGCTCACATACCCCCCTCCCTTCTGTAGTGCAGCCCCCTCACTCTCTGGAAGCCATCCCTGTCCAAGAGGAGGAGTTGCCTCCTCCCCAACTCCCTGTGGAAAACAAAGGTGAGCGCTCGCCCATTTCCTCACCACCAGCCCACTACAATCTTGCTGATGTCAGTCTGATCTTTGCTTCTTTGTGCCCTCACTCCTGTCTTGTAGTGGACCCCCATTTCCCTCAGGAAGCCATCCCCCTCCAAGAGGAGCTGCCCCGTCCCCAGGACCCTGTTGAGCAGAAGGAAAGTAAGTGACTCCCTCTCCTCATCACCCTCCCGCCTGATGAGTGTGGGCTTTGGGGCTCTGCCCCTCGATAGCTATGTAACTTCGGGTGAGTTGTCCCTCTAAGCCTTAGTTTCCTCATCTATAAAAATGGGGAAATAAGACCTGTTTTATAAAGTTATGAGATTAAATGGCATAAAAGTAGCATTTATTTTCACTTGCTTCTGTACTGACTTCCTCTTCATGAGTGGCATTTGGCCAGGTCCCCCTCTTCTAGCCCATCCCATGGTTTCTGCTTACACATCTCCTTCTATCCCAGTAGAACCATCTTTCCTACATCAGGAGGAAATGACCTTCCCATCTAATCAGAGAGAGGGTGAGTGACAGCTCTGGTCTGTCCATTCCTCTGCTTTAGTGCTCAGGACCCTGGGGAGGGAGGCAGGGAGCCTGAGCAGTGGGAAGCAGCACAGGGAACAGGCCTGGTTTGTGGGGCTATAAAGGGGAATCCTTTCATGCCCCGGTTTTCTTTCCTTTCCATCAGTCATTCTGAAGGCAAAAACCACAAGTTCATTTCTATCCCCTATCCTCCCAACCTTTTCTCCTTAACCCCAAGTTCTTTCAGTCCTCTCAGCTCATCCAGACTTTCTGTGTCCCTCCACTCATTCCCCTTTACACTCTGTTTTCTCCATTCTAGAAAAGCCAGCTCCATTCATGGATCGTAGCCCCCCTGAGCCTGAGTCTTGGAATCCAGCCCTGCACTGCCAGCAGGGCCGATCCCGAGGGGGCTGGGGCCACCGGCTGGATGGCTTCCCCCCTGGGCGGCCTTCTCCAGACAATTTGGACCAGATCTGCCTTCCTAATCGTCAGCATGTGGTGTATGGCCCTTGGAACCTGCCACAGTCTGGCTTCTCCCACCTTACACGCCAGGGTGAGACCCTCAATTTGCTGGAGACTGGATATTCCCGCTGCTGCCGCTGTCACAGCCACACAAACCGCTTGGACTGTGCAAGACTTGTGGTAAGCGTTGGGCTCTTGATGCCAGGGGTGTCCTTTAACCTCCAGGCAGTATGTGTATGTTTGAAGAACTTCTAGGCCTGGGTATGTAGGAAACTCAGGACCTTTTTCTTGGCCCTACCTTGTGCCTCCGCAGGGTGCTGGGAGGGCAGAAGACAGCCTCTGCTTCTTTCTTATCTACCTGCCCAGGGTCCTTTTCTGGAGCCTGGGAGGAAGACAGGAATGTGGACAATGGGCTGCTGGGCTGATCCATCCCTCTTGCTCTAGTGGGAGGACGCAATGACCCGATTCTGTGAGGCCGAGTTCTCGGTCAAGACCCGACCCCACTGGTGCTGCAAACAGCAGGGGGAGGCTCGATTCTCCTGCTTCCGGGAGGAAGCTCCCCAGCCACACTACCAGCTCCGGGCCTGCCCCAGCCACCAGCCTGGTATCTCCTCGGGCCCCGAGCTGCCTTTCCCCCCTGGGGTACCCACACTGGACAATGTCAAGAACATCTGCCACCTAAGACGCTTCCGTTCTGTGCCACGCAACCTCCCAGCTACTGACCCCATCCAAAGACAGCTGCAGGCATTGACCCGACTAGAGGGGGAGTTCCAGCGCTGCTGCCGGCAGGGGAACAACCACACCTGTACATGGAAGGCCGTAAGTGGGCGTCCCGGTCCCAAGAGCCTGTCTGCCCGCCCGCCCATCTCCGACCTCTGGTCCTGCTGATCCGTTCATCCATGCACCTCCCCAGTGTGAGCACGTCTGCCCGTTCATCTGCTTGCAAGTGTCCATCCATCCATTGTATTCGTCATTTGCGTCTGTTCATCTTGAGCCTTCATCCTGCACTTCTGGCCTGGTCTACCCATGATCCCACACATGCACCCATGTGCCATCCATCCTTGCAGCTCTGGCCTTATCTGACGCCTTCGTCTACTCCAGCCTATGTCCTATGGCCAGCTCCAAGCCTCATTTGTGCTTCCATCCTTCCACCTTCCCAGAATTATACATCCACACTTGTCAGTCCTTGTCCTCCGGTTCCTTACCCTTCCCTTTTGGCACCTGTGGCCGGGTCCCTCATCTCATAACATAGGGCAGTAAGGGAAGCAGAGGGTCAGAAGAGAAGGGGCCAAGTGTCCAGGCTTCTGACTTCCCTCTCTCTGGCCCACAGTGGGAGGATGCCCTTGATGGATACTGTGATCAGGAACAGTCTGTCAAGACCCACCACCACTCGTGTTGCCACTACCCTCCTAGCCCTGCCCGTGATGAGTGCTTTGCCCGTCGGGCTCCCTACCCCAACTATGACCGGGACATCTTGACCCTAGACCTCAGCCGAGTTACCCCCAACCTCATGGGCCATCTCTGCGGAAATGGAAGAGTTCTCAGCAAGCAGTGAGTCTTGCAAGTTCTTCCTCAACTCTCTTCCCTTCCCCAAAACCTCCCTCCTGGGGTACCCTGTGGGGCACTATTGATAAGAACAAACCATGGTCTCTGAGCACCATTTTGAAGCCTAGGGATGCCTAAAGACCCTGACCCTCTCCCCTTTCCCACCAACATAGTAAACAAATTCCTGGGCTGATCCGGAACATGACTGCCCACTGCTGTGACCTGCCGTTTCCAGAACAGGCCTGCTGTGCTGAGGAGGAGGTAAGTGGGGGCAGCAGGAGGTCATAGTCTCCCAAGAAAGGCAGGGGAGTGGGGAGAGAGAGCTAGAACTGCTGGCTATCCCTTCTCTTTAGTACCTCAGACATGCCCGCAGAAATAAAGAGGATGAGTGGGGAAGATCTTTTTTCTTGATTCCCAAAGTCTTCATTCCTGACCTGATATGCTCCCCACTTCTGAGTTCTTATTACGTCTTTTCTGGGCCTCAGGCTTCAGGCATTTCCATATGGGCACATGTCTGTTACAAAAAAATCTAACTGTGGTAGCCAGGCTTGAACTTTCTCTGGGCCCCAGTAGGGGACCTAGGGAGACAGCAGTAGAAGCGGAGGGAAAGGGGACTTTGAACAACCAAGTATCGATGCTTGACCTTAAACACTCCTCTCCCCATCATCTCTGCTTTACTTTTCTCCTTCAGAAGTTGGCCTTCATTGAGGATCTGTGTGGTCCCCGACATAATTTCTGGCGAGACTCTGCCCTCTGCTGTAACCTGAATCCTGGAGATGAACAGACCAACTGCTTCAACACTTACTATCTGAGGAATGTGGCTCTAGTGGCTGGAGACAGTGGGGATGACAAGGGCCAGGGCAAGCAGGGCCAACTTGGGGAAGAAGTATCAGCCCCACCCCAGAGCCCAAGGAAGAGTGAGTCACCCCAGAGCCTTGGAGGATCAGACTGGGGGAACCCCACCCTCCTTGAGCACTCATTACAGTAAACACCTCTTGGATTTGGCATCCTCATTGTCTTTAGCATCTCACATACAAATACACCCTCCTAAGCCTGCTTGGATTTTCTTCAGGGACTGGCCTCTGAGGCCCACTGCCCTGCCCCTTCTGACTCAGCAGAACTATTCCACAGGCTATGATGGTACCATAACTAAATGTCTTAACTTCATTATTTGTCATCTTGAATTTATTCATATATTTGAAAAGGAGTGTCACCTTGTTAGCTAGCTATCATTGAAAGGCAAAAAAAAATATATATATATACATATATATATGTATATATATATACCATATATATATATATATATATGGTTTCATGTCTTTGGTAAGCCCCAAAATACCACAGCCCAGCCTAATATTTTAATTTTAATTTAGTTTTACTTTTTTGGGGGGAGGGGTGGGAGAGAAAGAATCTTAAGCAGGCTCTGCTCTGAAGACAGAGCCTGATGTGGGGCTGTATCTCACAACCCTAAGATCATGACCTTAGCTGAAAAAAAGAGCCCCACACTTAACTGACTGAGCCACCCAGGCACTCCCTACCCTGACATTTTTAAATTTTCACTTTTGATCCTTGGAGTCCACACCTTGATTCCTAACTATCCATTTACTGAACACTTAGTGTGCTATATGTTAGACCAGGGGATACACATCCAGAAAGCATGCACCCCTTCTGTCAAGCTGCTCATATCCCAGGAGCATAGCGGGTGTGATAAGTGGTGTTGCATTGCATGGGGCTGCCAGATTGCCAATATTCTCAGGGTGCCAGATAAGGCGGTCGGAAGTGGGAGTAGGTTTGAGGGCAATATGAGTACACTGGGAAAGCCTCTGTGGGGTTGAGGTAAGAGCTCCTCCAGGAGAAACAGAAGGTGCAACGGGTAGGTACAACCCAGGCAGGATGGTTCTGGCAGAGAAACACAAAGGCTGAGAGGGCCTAAGCCTGTGGTGGTCTCCTTTGGAGATGTAGCTGGAATGGTAAGCAGGAGGTCCCTACGAATGCCTCATCCGCAAGGGCTTAATAAAGTGGATTCTGGTGCCTCTGCCCACGAAGACACTGGCAGCCTTAAGCAGAGGTGGTGTTCAGATTTGCGTTTTCCAACCCGCCTGCCTGTAGACAGACAAGCAGGAACCTGGAAGTCCAGTTTGGAGAATATCGCGCCCATGCCTGAGGGGAGGGGGTTGGACCACAGAGTGCCAAGACCCTTCAGCCCTTAGAGGCTGCCCAAGAAACCGGAGCCGAAAGAATCGAAATGAAGACTCGTGAGGACAAGTCCTCTGTGATTCTGTCGCCAGGACAAGTCTCCAAAAAGCGGGACTTCCCTGGCCCCAGCTACGGCGGAGGAGGATGAGGCACGGACTGCCGTCCTGACCCACTAGAAACAAGCTGAAATCCGGCAGCTCCCAAAAGACACCTAACACTTCCCTCTCCCAGGTCTATTATTTACTTATGCATCCTCCGCAGGACTGCTGTTTCTAACCACTCTGCGTCTTAGCCGCTCCTTTGACTGTCTATCAGCACGGGGTTCAAAGAGCGCAGGAGAGCCGCATGGGTACCGCCCCTTTGCCGGCCACTGCGGCCTCGCGCTGGGGGTCACATGCTCGGAGAGCATTATTGCGCCTGCGCGGGCATCGGGCGTCGGTCTCGGGATCCTCTGGCGGCCGCTGGGTCCCCGGACGAGGCAGGGAGAGGCCAGGCCCACTCTTCCCCTCACCGCTCACGTGTGCCTGCCACGGAGCCCGGGGCTGGACTTGAGCAGGCGGGGAGAAGGCGGGGCAGTGACTCAAGGAAGGGCGGGCCGATACGCCGCAGGGACATCTCTGCAGGGCTCTGTCCCTTCAGGAGCTTCCCGGAGATGCTTTACGGCTGCATTTGCAACGCGCAGCGCCTCCAAGTGCTGGTGGGGCAGTCAGAAAGGTAGGACCGCCCTCCCAGCCGCTGGAAGGTTACGGTCTGAGGAGTGGACTAGGAGGGGCCCGGGACAGCGATAGTCAGCCGCGATAATGAAAGACGCTCAGGTGCTAAATACGTGGTAAGCATCGTGAGGTGAGAGTTAAAAGAAGTCATTCTCTCTAGGAATCAGCGTAGTTGGCCGTGTATTGAGGAGTGCTGTTACGTACCAGGAAAAGAGGAGTGTTAACATTTACGGCAGTTAGTTGTACAGATAAAAGTATTAAGATATAATTTATTAAGCTCGGGCGCAGGGGATAAAGGAGGCAGAGCCCCCTAAGTACTTGGAGGGACCCGGGAAGCTTCAGGAAGGAATCGGAGCTTGAGTAGGATTTTGCAAGAACGAAAAGGGAGAGTGTACAAAATACTGGATATATGCAGAGTTCCCCTAAAATAAACAGAGTGTTTTGTGTTAGGCAGAGTATTCTTAGGTAATGAGTCTAAGTATTCTGGCCATAAAGAAGACTAAAGCACCGACCCCAAAGATTTTTATATCTGTGGAGACTTGTATGTCTAATGATAGATATATTCTTGGGATTCTGTGGGAGCCACCTAGCCTAGCTTTCAGGGAAGTCTTTGTGGAGGAGGCAATAAGTTTCAAAAAGTGTGGTTGGTATATTTGAAGTGCTAATAAGTAGTAAAAATGGTGTGGGTGAGTAACTAGGCGTGAGGTGGTAAATTTAGGCTTAGTCATGCTTTCTGGCAGATCTTGAAGAACTACGGAAGTCGCGCAACCTGGGTATAAGCACCTGTAAAAGATTGTTAATAAAATTAATGATGTATTATAAGTTGGCTAATTGAATTTAAATTTGAAAAAAAGATTGTAAATGAAAAGTGATGTTACAGACTTTTTTATTTTATTTTAAATGGGCTCCACACCCAGCTTAGAGCCCAGTGCAAGGGTTGAACTCACAACCCTGAGATCAAGATCTGAGCTGAGATGGAGAGTTGGCTGGTCAACTAAATGAGCCACGCAGGTGCCCCAGTGAACAGACTTTTAAAAAAAACTAAATTAGTTGGATAGACAGGTAGACATGACTAGATATGCCAAAGAAAGAATAGAGATGGGGACCAGTTCAGAGGTTGAAATTGTAGTTCTTCGATAGCAATAAAATTTTGAGATCCAGAACTTTAATGGTACAGGGGATGAAGACGGAGAGGATATCTTTTAAAGATATTTAAGAGGGGCACCAGGGTAGCTCAGTTGCTTAAGTGACTGCCTTTGGCTTAGGTTTTGATCCCCCAGGGTCCTGGGATGGAGTCCCGCATCCAGCTTCTTGCTCAGCAGGGAGCCTGCTTCTCCCTCTCTTTCTGCCTGCTACTCCACCTGCTTGCTCTCTCTCTCTTTCTTTCTGTCAAATAAATAAATAAAATCTTTAAAAAAAAAAAGATATTTAAGAGATGGGACTGACAGACCCTGCTTGCTGCCAGAGATATCTTAAAATGACTCCCAAACTTGAGGATTGGGTACCTGTAAGGTAGAATGTACAGAAGGAGGACAGGTTTTACAGGAGGATGATAACGAGTTCAGTTTTGGAGTCTAAAGTAATCAGTGTCTTAGTGAAAACACCTTCAGGGGGCGCCTGGGTGGCCCAGTGGGTTGAGCCTCTGCCTTTGGCTCGGGTCATGATCTCAGGCTCCTGGGATTGAGCCCTTCATTGGGCTCTCTGCTCAGCAGGGACTTACTTCTCCCCCACCCCCTCCCTGCCTCTCTGCCTGCTTGTGATCTCTGTCAAATAAATAAATAAAATCTTAAAAAAAATTTTTTTTTTAAAGCACCTTCAGAAGGAAGATGTTAAAACCACATTCTAGGGGTGCCTGGGAGGCTCAGTCGGTTAAGCGTCTGCCTTCAGCTCAGGTCATGATATCAGGGTCCTAGGATCAAGCCCCATATTGGGCTCTCTGCTCAGCAGAGAGCCTGCTTCTCCCTTTGCCCCTCCCCCTGCTGGTGCTTTCTCCCTCTCTGTCAAATAAATAAATAAAATCTTTTTTTTTTTTTAAGATTTTTATTTATTTATTTGACAGGTAGAGATCACAAGTAAGCAGATAGGCAGGCAGAGAGAGAGAGAGGAGGAAGCAGGCTCCCTGCAGAGCACAGAGCCCAATGTGGGGCTCGATCCCAGGACCCTGGGATCATGACCTGAGCCGAAGGCAGAGGCTTTAACCCACTGAGCCACGCAGGCGCCCCAATAAAATCTTAAAAACAAAACAAAACACATTCTAGGGGTACCTGGGTGGCTCAGCCAGTTGGGCATCTAACTTTGACTCGGGCCATGATTTCAGGTCCTGGGATCAAGCCCCAGTGTTAGGCTTCCTGCTCAGTGGGGAGTTTGCTTGTCCCTCTCAATCTCCCTTTGCCCTCCAGCCCTCTCCCCTTCTCCCCGACTTGAGCTCGCTCTCTCTCTCTCAAATAAATAAACAAATAAAATCTTTAAAAAAAAAAAAAAAAGAGCCACATTCTAGGGGCACCTGGCTGGCTCAGTTGGAAGAGCATGTGACTCTTGATCTCAGGGTTGTGAGTTCAAGCCCTATGTTAGGTGTAGAGATTATTTAAAAATAAACTTTTTTTTAAAAGCCCAATTCTAGGGAATTGAGTATGAATGGAATGGGAGGTGAGGAAGAGGAGGCCGCATGTGCAGCCTGCTCTTTAAATGTACTTCTGTTCAGGGGATGCCTGGGTGGCTCAGTTGGTTAAGCGGCTGCCTTCCGCTCAGGTCATGATCCCAGGGTCCTGGGATCGAGTCCCACATCGGGCTCCTTGCTCAGCAGGGAGCCTGCTTCTCTCTCTGCCTCTGCCTGCCTCTCTGCCTGTGTTCGCTCACTCTCTCTCCCTCTGTCTCTGACAAATAAATAAATAAAATCTTAAAAAAATAAATAAAAAATAAATGTACTTCTGTTCTGTAGACCAGTAGCTTACTAGATATGACACTTGGAAATCTCTTGGGTACAACAGATTTCAGCTTAGAACTCCTCTGGGTATGTGGGAAGATATGAGAAAGAAGTTAGAACAGTGAGTGAGTTGTAGAACCTAGGCAGTAGGTATATGGATGTTCACTACAATCTGACAACTTCTCTGCATTTTTGAAATTTTTCATAAAATATTGAGAAAAATAAGTGATCATCTCTACCCTCGAACTGTTCCTGCCCCAGTGGGCCCCAGTTGTTTAGGCAAGAGATCTGGGAGTATCATTCTTCAATTTCCTCCTTCCTTCTATTCCAGTCAGTCACCAAATCTCCTAAATACCTCTTAAATCCATCAGCAGTGGAGTTGTCCCTTACACCACGGTTAGGTTCTGAAGACAGTACTTAAGACAAAAGTTACATAGTCAACATAACCTTTGAAAATCCGGTAAACCACTCAGAAAATACAGTGGCCGTAAGTCTTGTGTTCATAACTCTGTGCCTAAAATGTATATACAAGTTTATATGGTAGGGTACAGTATGTCATAGGATATACAGTATAACATTAAGATTCTTTTTTTAAGATTTTGTTTATTTATTTGACAGACAGAGATCACAGTAGGCAGAGAGGCAGGCAGAGAGAGAGGAAGGGAAGCAGGCTCCCTGCTGAGCAGAGAGCCTCGATGGGGTGGCCCATTGAGCCACCCAGGCACCCCGATATTTTTAACTTCATAAAAAAATGGGGAGATAGTGCTACATACAGTTAAACAGAGTTGTGAAATGAACACAAGGCCCAAGGACATTGTATTCCTCACCTCTCCAGTGCCTTCACCCTTGTCCAAGCTTCCACCAACTGTCATGATTATTTTTTCTTAAAGATTTTATTTATTTATTTGACAGAGAGAGATCACAAGTAGGCAGAGAGACAGGCAGAGAGGGGGAAGCAAGCTCCTCCTGAGCAGAGAGCCTGATGCAGGGCTCAATCCCAGGACCCTGAGATCATGACCTGAGCCAAAGGCAGAGGCTGAACCCACTGAGCCACCCAGTCGCCCCAACCCTCACAATTATTGAAGTGGCTTCCTAAATGGTCTCCTGGTGCTATCCAGTCCATTCTCCACAGTCCAGGCAGAATGACCTGCTAACTGGTGTGATCAGGTCACTTCACTGCTTTAAAATATCTCTGTGATAGGGCTCCTGAGGGGCTTAGTCAGTTAAGTGTTCACTCTCGGTATCAGCTCAGGTCCTGATCTCAGAGTCCTGGGATCAAGATCTGCATAGGGCTACACACTGGGCATGGAGCCTGCTTCAGATTCTCTCCCTCTCCCTCTACCCCTTCCCCGTTTCTCTCACTCTCTAAAATACATATATATATATATCTCAGTGATATCCCACTGTTCCCTTACAACAGTGTTTGGCTGCCCAACCTTCCACCATCTGGCCTCTGCAGTCCTCAGACTTAATCACATGTACCTCTTCCCTCTTATTCTGAAGGCCCCCTCAGAACTCGGCTGCTTACCTTTCAGTTCCTCAGGTTCACCATGTTCTTTTGTACTTGGGGGGCCTTTGGCATGCTGTCTTCTGAATGGAACTCTGTTCCCCTCTCTGTAAAACGGGTAAGCTCTGTACCTCTGTGGCAAGACATCTCTTGCCTACTAAACAAGCCATCTTCCAATCCCCTAATACCTTGTTCTTGCTGAATTTTAAATTAAAAAAAAAGCATTGTGTAAAATAACACACATTTAAAAATTGTACTGAAAATAAATGTGCAGTTCAATGGGTGATTATAAAGTGAAACTCCTTGCAACAACCACCTAGGTTAAGCACATGGACACTGCCAGCACCCAAAAGCCCTCCAGAGTGCTGTTTTCTGTTCAAGCTCCTCACCCCTGTAAAGGAACGACTCTCCTGTCATCATATTTATTGTAATCATTTACTTGCTTTCTCCTTCCTAAGATTTTATTTATCTACCTGACAGAGAGAGAGAGATCAATCACAAGTAGGCAGAGAGTCAGGCAGAGAGAGAGGGGGAAGCAGGCTCCCTGCTTATCAGAGAGCCCGATGTGGGGCTCAATTCCAGGACCCCGAGATCATGACCTGAGCCGAAGGCAGAGACTTAACCCACCGAGCTACCCAGGCACCCCTTGCTTTTTCTTTATATTTTTGCCACCTAAATATGAATCCTAAAAACAGTGATTTAGGGTTTTTTGGTTATTGGGGTTTTTTTTTAAGATTTTATTTATTTATTTCACATGTATCTCTCTCTCTCTAATAAATCTACACAGGGCTAGATCCCAGGACCCTGGGATCATTACTTGAGCTGAAGGCAGACACTTAACGGACTGAGCCACCCAGGCACCCTTTTGGGTTTTTTTGGTTTGGGTTTTTGTTTTTTAACAAACATTTGGCATTTTTTAAAAAATTATTTTTTAATAGAGTTGACACACACTGTTGCATAGTTTCAGGTGTATGGCACGGTGATTTGACAAGTTTATACCTTGTGCTGTGCTCCCCACAATTGTAGCAATCATTTAGGTTTTTGTTGTTGTTTTTTTTTTAAGCTTTATTGGCCACCTCCTCCCTGCCCCTAGTAACTTCTCATCCTCTTTCTATCTCTATGACTTTGCTTATTTTAGTAACCTCATGCAAGTACTTCAATAATGGAATTATTTCTGGGGTGCCTGGTGGCTCAGTGGGTTAAGCCTCTGCCTTTGGTTCAGGTCATGATCTCGGGGTCCTGGGATCGAGTCCTGCATCAGGCTCTCTGCTCGGTGGGGAGCCTGCTTCCCTCTCTCTCTCTGCCTGCCTCTCTGCCTACTTGTGATCTCTCTCTGTGTCAAATAAATAAATAAAATCTTTTTAAAAAATTGGAAGTACTTCTGTGTCTTGCTTATTTCTTTTAACGTAATGTTTTCAAGGTTCATCCATGTTAAAGCATGTAGCAGAACTTCATTTCTTTTTATGGCTGAATAATATTCTGTTGTATGGATATGCCACATTTTCTTTATCCATTCATCTGTTGATAGATGTTTGGAATGTTTCCACATTTTTGCTATTATGAAGAATGCACAGTCACTTAATTTTACCCATTTTGGGACTTCATAAGAATGGAATTAGAGGGGCGCCTGGGTGGCTCAGTCGATTAAGTGTCTGTCTTCAGCTCATGTCATGATCCCAGCCTCCTGGGATCCAGCTCCGCATCCGGCTGCCTGCTTAGGAGCCTGCTTCTTCTCCTCCCTCTTCCTGCCACTCTGCCTACTTGTGCTCTCTCTCTGTCAAATAAATAAAATGTTTAAAAAAAAAAAAAAGAATGGAGGGGCGCCTGGGTTGCTCAGTGGGTTAAGCCTCTGCCTTCGGCTCAGGTCATGATCTCAGGGTCCTGGGAACAGGCCCCATGTTGGGCTCTCTGCTTAGCAGGGAGCCTGCTTCCCCCTCTCTCTCTGCCTGGCTCTCTGCCTGCTTGTGATCTCTCTTTGTCAATTAAAAAAAAAAAAAAAAAACTTAAAAAAAAAAAGAATGGAATTAGATCATATTTTTTGTATGTCTGGCTTTTTAAGCTTGCATTCACATTTTTCCATATACCATAGTTCATTAATTTTCATAGAATTCCGTTTTTAGAAATATACCACAATTATCTGTATTATTGTTGATGGATATTTGGCTTGTTTACAATTTTAGGCTATTTCAAATATGCTAAAATTAAAAAAAAATATGTGCATTTCTCTTGGGTGTACAGGGGAGCTAGGAGTTGGATGACTGTGTCAGAGTCTCCTCAGCCTAACTAGATAATGCCAAAGTGGTTGTACTAATTTTTATTCCTATCCGCAGGGTTTGAGAGTTCCTGTTACACATTCTTACCAACTCTTAAGGTTGTATATTTAGCTATTCTGGTGAGTTTGTTTGTATTGGGTTTAATTTGCATTTCCATATCTATAAATGAGGTTAAACACTTTTTATGTGTTGATTGGCCATTTGGATATCCTCTGTGAGATGTCTTCTCAAGTCTCTTGCATATTTTTTCTGTTAGACTTTTCCATATTGATTTGTAGTTCTTCCAGATACGAACTCTTTGACAGGTAATATATTGGAAATATTTTGCTTCTTCACTCTCTTAACAGTGTCTTTGGTGATAAAATGTTTTTAAATTGAATGTAATTGTCATTATGTTTAGTGCTTTTTCCATTTTTTCTTTCTTGTTTTAAGTAGGCTCCTGGGCACCTGGGTGGCTCAGTCCTTAAGTAGGCTCTGTGCCCAGCGTGGAGCCCAATTCAGGACTTGAACTCATCACTCTTAGATCAAAATCTGCGCTGAGATCAAGGGTCTGAGCTGAGATCAAGGGTTGGATGCTTAACTGACTGAGCCACCCCAGGTTTCCCCACAGTCTTTAGCTTTTCTTTTTTTTTAAGTCTTTATTTATTTAGGGCTGCCTGGGTGGCTCAGTGGGTTGAGCATCTGCCTTGGGCTCAGGTCATGATCCCAGGGTCCTAGGATCAAGCCCCACATCCAGCTCTCTCCTCAGCGGAGAGCCTGGTTCTCCCTCTCCCTTTGCTGCTCCCCCTGCTTATGCTCACAGTCTCTCTCTCTCTAATAAATAAATCTAAAAAAAAAAAAAGACTTTATTTGAGAGAGAGAGAGAGAGAGAGCATAAGCAAGGGAAGGGGCAGAGGGAGAGGGAGAAGCAGACTTCCCACTGAGTGCAGAGTCCCATTCAGGACTCAACATCAGAACACTGAGATCATGACCTGAACCGAAGCCAGACACTTAACCAACTGAGCCACCCAGGCGCTCCCAGTCTGTAGCTTTGTAACAAATTTTGGTATCTATAAGGCAGTCCTCCGCCATAGTTCTTTTTCAAGAGTGTCTTGGGGAAAAAAAAAAAAAAGAGTGTCTTGGCTCTTGTTTAATGATCAGTATCAAACGTTAAGAATAGTCTGTACAGAGTATTTTATCTAAGTGTGAAAAACTGAAAGCCCACATTGTTGTAATCTTTTTCTGAATGGTTATTCCGTGACTTTCCAGTTTAGTAGCTGACCGTGCTGTCCAATGAAGTAGCCACCAGTCACTGTGGGTATTGAGTACTTGAGATGTGGCTGGTTTCAACTGCCGTAGTCCTGTAAGTGTAAGGAGCACCAGATTGCAAAGACTCTGCATGAAAAAAAAGAATGCAATGTATCTCAGATATCTTGTTAATAATTTTTGTATTGATGACATGTTGAAATGATATTTGGGGTATATTGTGTTAAATGAAGTAGATTATTGAAATTATTCTCATCTGTCTCATTTGATTTTTTTTTTAATTCCAGGATAGTTAATGTAAGTGTTATATTAGTTTCAGGTGTACAATATAGTGATTCAAAAATTCTTGATATGACTCCGTGCTCATCATGATAAGTATACTATTTTATCCATTCCCATGCACTTCCCCTTTGGTAACCATCAGTTTATCCTCTATAGTTAGCAGTTGGTTTTTGGGGGGATGCCTGGGTGGCTTAGTCAGTTAGGTGTCTGGCTCTTGATTTTGGCTCAGGTCATGATCTCAGGGTTATGAGATGGAGCCCTTTGTCGGGCTCTGTGCTGAGTGTGGAGCCTGCTTAAGATACTCTCTCTCTCCTTCTGCACCCCCCCATAATAAAAATTTTTAAAGAAAGAGTATAGTTTTCGTTTGTCTTTTTTTTCTTTGTTCATTTGTTTTGTTTCCTAAATTCCACATGAATGAAATTGCATGGTATTTGTCTGATTCTGATTTATTTCACTTAGCTTTATACTCTGTAGACGCATCCATGTTGTTACATATGGCAAGATTCCATTCTTTTTTATGGCTGAGTAATATTCCCGTGTGTGTGTGTGTGTGTGTGTGCATGCCTGTGCATATACATCTACATTCATTCATCTATTTTTTATAGAATATTCTTTTTTTTAAGATTTTATTTATTAGAGAGAGAGAGAGTGCCTGCAAGCACAAGCAGAGGGAGAGGCAGAGGGAGAGAGAAAAGGAGAAGCAGGCTCCCCATTGAGCAGGGAGCCTGATGGAGGGCTTGATCCCAGGACCCTGTGATCATGACCTGAGCTGAAGGCAGACGCTTAACTGACTGAGCTACCCAGGGAGCCCTCATTCATCTATTGATGGACATTTGGGCTACTTCCATAATTTGGTTATTATAAATAATGTTGAGTAAACATAGGAGTGCATATATCTTTTTGAATTAGTGTTTTTGTATTCTTTGGGTTTGACTTTTTAAATATTTTTCTATTTTTAAAAATGTAAATTGTTAATTAACATATAATGTGTTGTTGGCTTCAGAGGTAGAGTTCAGTGATTCATCAATCTTAATATAACACTCAGTGCTAATTATATCATGTGCTCTCCTTAATGTCTATCACCCAGTTACTCCATCCCTCAGCCCCCCTCCTCTCCAGCAACCCTCAGTTTGTTTCCTATGATTAGGAGTCTCTTATGGCTTCACTCCTTCTCTGATTTTGTCTTGTTTTATTTTTCCTTCCCTTCTCCTATGATCCCCTTTTGTTTCTTGAATTCCACATATGAATGAGATCATATAATTGTATTTCTTTGGTTGACTTATTTTGCTTAGCGTAATTACCCTCTAGTTCCATCCATGTCATTGCAAAAATATGAATGCTTTTGATGGCTTGATAGTATTCCATGTTTGACTTTTTCTTTTTTTTAAGATTTTATTTATTTGTCAGAGAGAGAGAGGGAGAGAGAGCAAGCACAGGCAGACAGAATGGCAGGCAGAGGCAGAGGGAGAAGCAGGCTCCCTGCCGAGCAAGGAGCCCGATGCGGGACTCGATCCCAGGACGCTGGGATCATGACCTGAGCCGAAGGCAGCTGCTTAACCAACTGAGCCACCCAGGCGTCCCATGTTTGACTTTTTTTTTTTAAGATTTTATTTATTTATCTGACAGAGAGATCACAAGTAGGCAGAGAGAGGGGGAAGCAGGCACCCCGCTGAACAGAGAGCCCAATGTGGGGCTCTATCCCAGGACCCTGAGATCATGACCTGAGCCATAGGCAGAGGCCTAACCCACTGAGTCATCCAGGCACCCCCCCATGTTTGACTTTTTAAAATATGACTACTAAAGTATTTGGAATTATAAATGTGACTTGTATTTGTGACTCACATTGTACTATATTTGTACTGTGGTAAGCTGATGAATGGCCCCCAAAGATATCCAGGTCCTAATTTCTGGAATCTGTGAGTGTTACCTTTACATGGCAAAAGGGACTTTGCAGAATGTGATTAAAAGTATGGACTTTTAGATGGGGAGATTATTTTGGATTATCTGAACAGTCCCTGAATGTAAATCACAAAGGTCCTCATAAGAAGGAGACAGGGTGGGGCGTCTGGGTGGCTCAGTTAAGCATCTACCTTCAGCTCAGGTCATAATCTTAGTGTCCTGGGATCCAGCACTAGCAGGGAGTCTGCTTTTCCCTCTCTCTCTGCCCGCTGCTCCCCCTGCTTGTGCTCCCTCACACTTTCAGTCAAATAAATAAATAAAATCTTTTAAAACATTAAAAAAAAAAAAAAGAGGCAGGGTGAGATATGATATCAAAAGGGGAAAAGGCATTTGACTGTCGAAGCTGAGTTTGGAGTGATGTGAACAGCAACCAGAAATTGAAAGAAACAAGCAAAAGATTCTTCCCTGGAGCCTCCAGAAGGAACCATTCCTGCTGTTTGCCCCTAGAATTTGTCTCTTAAACACAGCTATACTCTGGTCTTGGGTCTCCTTCGCAGAATGATTTGCTATCCTTCACATCTTTGACAGTGGTAGTTTAGTTTCTCCTAATACCTTTGGTAAAGTGCTGTGAAAGCCTGGAAATTTTTATTGAGTAGATGGTGTGTATAATATTAAATTTAAATAAAAATTTAGAGGGGCACCTGGGTGACACAGTTGGTTAAGGGTCATACTCTTGGTTTTAGCTCAGGTTGTGATCTCTGGGTTGTAAGATAAAGACCCACATTGGGCTCCACGCTCAGTGTGGAGTCTGCTTACGACTCTCTCCCTCTTCCCTTACCCCTCCCCACTGTGCTGTTCCTCTAAAATAAATTTAGAAATATTTTTTTTTTAATTTAGACTAAGGGGCACCTGGGTGGCTTATTAGTTGGTTGGGTATCTGCCTTCGGCTCAGGTCATGGTCCCAGGGTCCTGGGATTGAGCCCCGCATCGGGCTCCCTGCTCAGTGGAGAGCCTGGTTCTCCTTCTCCCTCTGCTACTCCCCCTGCTTGTGCTCGCTCTCTCTCACACTCTCTTTGTCTCTCTCTGTTAAATAAATAAAATTAAAAAAAAATTTAGACTAACGCTGTCTGTATTCATTTGTTATGGCTGCTGTAACAAATTCCTGTAAATTCAGTGGCTAAAGGGTACCTGGGTGGCTCAGTCAGTTAAGTATCCAGCTCTTTTTTTTTTTTTTTTTTAACGTATAATGTGTTATTTGTTTAGGGATACAGGTCTGTGATTCATCAGTCTTACATGATTCACAGTGCTCACCACAAAATATACCCTCCCCAGTGTCTATCACCCAGCCACCCCATTCCTTCCAACCTCCTCCACTCCAGCAAACCTCAGTTTGTTTCCTGAGATTGAGTCTCTTATGGTTTGTCTCCCTCTCTGGTCTTGTCTTGTTTCATTTTCCCCTCCCTTCCTTTATGATCCTTTGTCTTGTTTCTCAAATTCCTCATATCATGGAGATCATATGATAATTGTCTTTCTCCAGTTGACTTATTTCGCTCAGCATAATAGCCTCTAGTTCCATCTGTGTCATTGCAAATGGCAAGATTTCACTTTTTTTTTTTTTTAAAGATTTTATTTATTTGTCAGAGAGAGAGAGAGAGAGAGACAGGGCGGGCGAGCACAGGCAGACAGAGCGGCAGGCAGAGGCAGAGGGAGAAGCAGGCTTCCCGCCAAGCTAGGAGCCCGATGTGGGACTCGATCCCAGGACACTGGGATCATGACCTGGGCCGAAGGCAGCTGCTTAACCAACTGAGCCACCCAGGCGTCCCAAGATTTCACTTTTTGATGGCTGCATAATATTCCATTGTGTGTGTGTGTGTGTGTGTGTGTGTGTGTGTGTACACACACTACATCTTCTTTATCCATTCATCTGTTGATGGACATCTAGGCTCTTTCCATAGTTTGGCTATTGTGGACATTGCTGCTATAAACATTGGGGTGCACATGCCCCTTCAGATCACTACATTTGTATCTTTGGAGTAAATACCCAGTAGTTATGCATCCAACTCTTGATTTTGGCTCAGGTCATGATCTCAGGGTCATGATATCAAGCCCCACATTGCTCTGCATGCTGCACTGTACTGTTTAAGATTCTCTCTTTGGGGGCACCTGGGTGGCTCAGTTGTTAAATGATTGCCTTCGGCTCAGGTCATGATCCCACTCTCCTGGGATCAAGCCCTGCATCAGGCTCCCTGCTCTGCAGGAAGCCTGCTTCTCCTCCCATTCCCCCTGCTTGTGTTCCCTCTCTTGCTAGGTCTCTCTCTGTCAAATAAATAAGATCTTTTTTTTTTTTTTAAGATTTTATTTATTTACTTAGAGAGAGAGAGAGTGAGACAAAGAGAGCATGAGAGGGGAGATAGTCAGAGGGAGAAGCAGACTTCCTGCCAAGCATGGAGCCCGATGCGGGACTCGATCCTAGGACTCCAGGATCATGACCTGAGCTGAAGGCAGTTGTTTAACCAGCTGAGCCACCCAGGCGCCCAGTAAATAAAATCTTAAAAGAAAAAAGAGGGGGGGCCTGGGTGGCTCAGTGAGTTAAAGCCTCTGCCTTCAGCTCAGGTCATGATCCCAGGGTCCTGGAATCGAGCCCCATATGGGGCTCTCTGCTCAGCGGGGAGCCTGCTTCCTCCTCTCTCTCTCTCTGCCTGCCTCTCTGCCTACTTGTGATCTCTGTCAAATAAATAAATAAAAATATTTTTTAAAAAAATTCTCAGGGCACCTGGGTGGCTCAGTGAATTAAGCCTCTGTCTTCGGCTCAGGTCATGATCTCATGGTCCTGGGATCAAGCCCCATATCGGGCTCTCTGCTCAACAGGGAGCCTGCTTCCCCCCCCCCCGCCTGCCTCTCTGCCTACTTGTGATCTCTATAAAATAAATAAATAAAATCTTTTTATTTTAAGATTTTTTTTTTTTTGACAGATCGCAAGTAGGCAGAGAGGCAGGCAGAGAGAGATGGGGGGGAAGCAGGCTCCCTGTTGAGCAGAGAGCCCGATGTGGCTCGATCCCAGGACCCTGAGATCATGACCTGAGCCGAAGGCAGAGGCTTTAACCACTGAGCCACCCAGGTGCCCCAATAAATAAAATCTTAAAAAAAAAAAAAAGATTCTCTCTACCTCTGCCCCTGCCCCTCCCGCTATGCTACTCTTTCTCTCTCTCAAAAAAAAAAAAAAAAAAAAAGAAAGAAAGAGTGACAATTCTGCTGAAAAATAACATGGGTGTATATCCAGAAGAGAATACCAGAACTCTCACACCTCAGTAATAAGAAAACAAACAATCCAATTAAAAAAATGGGCAAAAATTCGAATAGACATTTCACCTAAAAGGTATAAAAATTGCTGATAAGCATATGACGACATGCTCAGTATCATTAATGATAGGGACATGGAAATCCAAACTATGTGCAAACCTTGTCACACCCACCAAAATGGCTATAATAAAAAAAAATCAGACAATAGCAAATGTTGGCAAGGTGTGAGGAAATGGGAAGCCTCAATCATTGCTGGCAGGAATAAAAAATGATAGAGTCACTTTGGAAAACTGACAGCTTCTCAAGAGGCTAAACATATTTACCATATGACCCAGCAATTCTCTTTGGTATCTACCCAAGAGAAATGAAAACATATCCACATAAGGCCTTGCACATAACTGTTCTTTTGGGGTAAGATTTTATTTGAGAGAGAGTGCACAAGCAGGGTGAGTGGTGGCAAAGGGAGAGAGAGAAGCAGGCTCCTCACTGAGCAGGGATCCTGATGTGGGGCTTAATCCCAGGACCCTGGGATCATGACCTGAGCTGAAAACAGACACTTAAACCGACTGAGCCTTGCTTGTGCTCTCTGTCTCTCTCTTTCTCTCTGTCAAATACATAAGTAAAATCTTAAAAAAAAAAAAAAAAATCTTTTTTTTTTTTTTTTTTTTAAATCTGAAGACTTAC